GAAGCACAAGTGATTGTGAATCAATTTCACCTGATTTGGTGCAAATGAAAGTGACAACAAGTGCAATGGAGAGGCAAAAGCAAGACAACCCCAAAAAAGTAATGGTTTTGTATGTGGTGGCCAGACAATTGCTCTCTCCTTCTCCTTCCTGACTGATTCTTCTCTAGTTAGCATGAGGCCGTACCTGCAGCCCAATCAGGTTGCAAAGGTAGTCCAGCTCCTCCAGGGTGGCACATCCAAATGTGAGGTTGCAAGAAGGTTTGCTGTGTCTCCCAGCACAGTCTCCAGAGCATGGAGGAGATACCAGGAGACCGGCCATTACAGCCATTACACGAGGAGAGCTGGACAGGGCCGTAGAAGAGCATCAACCCAGCAGCAGGACTGGTACCTGCTCCTTTGTGCGAGGAGGAACAGGAGGAGCACTGTCAGACTCTACAACATGACCTCCAGCAGGCGTCTGGTGTGCACGTTTTTGACCAAACTGTCAGAAACAGACTCCATTAAGGTGGCATGAGGGCCCCACGTCCTCTAGTGGGACCTGTGCTCACAGCCCAGCACCGCGTAGCTTGATTGGCATTCGCCAGAGAACACCAGAACTGGCAGGTGCACCATTGGCGCCCCGTTCTCCCATCTCACAGACGAGAGCAGGTTTACACTGAGCACATGTTACAGATGTGAAAGAGTCTGGAGATGCCGTGGTGAACATTATGCTGCCTGTAACATCATATATCATGACCGGTTTGGAGGTGGGTCAGTTATGGTCTGGCGAGGGATATCCTTGGTGGGTCACACGGACCTCCATGTCATAGCCAACGGTACCCTGGCTGCTGTTATGTACCCGATGCAGGACAATGCCCGGCCTCATGTGGCCAGAGTGTGTAGGCACTTCCTGGATGACGGAGGCATTGATGCCATTGACTGGCCCTCATGTTCACCTGACCTAAAACCAATTGAGCACCTATGGGACATTATTTATCGGTGCGTCCGACACCGCCAGGTACTGCCACAGACTGTCCAAGAGCTCTCTGATGCCCTGATCCAGGTCTGGGAGGAGATCTTCCAGGACACCATCAGCTGACTCATCAGGAGCATGACCACACGTTGTCAGGAGTGCATACACGCGGAGGCCAACACACTACTGAGTCACATTATGAGATGCCGTGACGAAATTCATGCAAGTTGGAACAGCCTGTGATTTGAATTTTTACCTTTGATTTTTGGTGCGATTGTGAATCCAGCCCTCAGTGGGTTGATGATTTTGGTTTCCATTGACCGTTGTTACATCACTTTGTTCTCAACAAATTATAGAGTGTACATCAGTAAAGATTTTTAACTTGAATAATTCGTTCATCAAGATCCGATGTGTGATTTAAGTGTTCCCTTAATTTTTTTGAGCAGTGTATAATACAAGACATACGATGAGAGAAATAATCATCAACACTATGACTGACTGTTTTCACCTTGAACTGCAGTGAACCAATGACAGTCTCAAAAAAACAGATTCAGACAGCCAGGGTGTCATACATCACAAACCTAAGGAACCAATCCTGTCATCTTGTGGGGTCGGGGGGCGGGGCAAAATAAACCTGAAACCTTGTTAGTAAAGAGAGCCAGATTTAGCATTAGCATAACTACTAACACTGTGTCAGCCACTGCTAGTTACAAGCTACCAAATGCAAATAAAAGATGCTTATTACACTAACTGCTCTGAAAGATGCTAACTATGCTAATTGCTCTGAGTCTGGGTCTGACTGAGGCTCAAGCATGTGGCTGAGTCTCTCTGATGTTTCCTCCTCTAACCATCTTGATACTCTCTGCTCTTTCACCTGTCCACCTGGAGCAAGCAGGTGGTGGGCGGGGCTCAAGTAGATGAGTTTCACACCCAGTTTTTATGTGTGAAAACCATGTCACTGACACTCAACCCCCGCACAGTTAAAATTGTTGCTCCAGTGTCCCTCTGCCTTTCCCCCTGGCAGTCTGTCCCAACATATTTTAGACTTCAGACATTTTCAGCCATGTCAATGCTTAGATATATAATAATAATATATAAATATATAAATATAATTCATAGAACAGTAGGTCGAGACTAATTCTCTTCGACACTGGCTGATAATGGCTTGAGCTTCACTTGTGTCACCTGAAGTGTGTTTTTTACTGGCTGACACTGAAACATTGAAAGCGACTTCAGTCCCCAGAGTCTCCACCTTCACTGAGAGTGGTTCAAAGATGGAACTGTCAGCTTCACTTCACCAGACACAGCACAGGCAAAGACCAGTGACACAATATTAATGAGTATCAAAGTTGGAAATTTGTCCCATACATTGTATCACTTAGTTGTAGTAGTGCTATACTATTTCTTCTACTCCTCTGCTATTAGCTGATCTCTGTATCTATATGCCTGGGGGGTGAATGTGACATTGTCAAAGAGTTCTCACAGATTCTCCTGGAGGCAAATAACTCACAGACTACACAGAACGGAACCAAAGCCAGCTGATGCAATACAGTGACTGTACATTACTTACTACTGTCACTGTGCATTAAATTAAAAGCAAGATAAACAGTAGGGCATGAATGTGCGTGACAGGGTTAGGCGATAAAAACTGCTTAGTGTGGACGTAGTCTGAGGCTCACTGTTTGCACTTGTGTCGTCCATATCGCCAGCTTTGCTTTGAATGAAGGTGGACTAATATTAGTTGGATGTCCCATCCAGGGGTATGACTGAACATGAGGTAGTATTTTTTAAGGGAACAGATCATGGAGACACATTTAGGGGAAAGTATAGTCAGAGACAGAGTTTCTCCACCTCTCTGCCCCTGTAGGAGACCAGCAGCAGGTCTGATTCAGTTCACTCCAATGGAAGAAGTGAATGTGATCACAGATCACTAATTCTTTCACCTCATAGTGACTGAAATACATACTCGATCAATTTTTCACAAGCCACAGAACTTCAGATTGTTCTGACATTAAAATTGTATTTTTCAGAAAACTTAGGATAAAATTAACTTTGTTCGAGACCTGTCTCTGTCTCAGCAACAAACTCTCATGAGATCTCACCACACAGATCTCTCTGTCGGTTCTGATCTAGTTTACTGCCGACATCGCTTTCCAACCATATAAACAGAAGTTTAGAGGGACTTATATGTGAATCCATGAATTAAAACTGATATAAAACTTGTATTTGTTTGTGTAATAATACTATTATTGTTATTATTATTGAAGTGTTTTTGGAGGGAAAACAGAAAGTATTAGACTGATATGATCTTGTACTGGGTTTATCAGATATAAGCCAGCAGATAAAACCGGGCAGCAAAATCAGCTTTACATTCAAACTGTATCTAGAGTTGTATTGGATTGTTTTTATGTTTTGACATGAACAAGCAGTTATGACCACGCCCACTTAGGAGACAGGAAGAGTAGACCATTTCTTATCATTGGCGCTGCTTGTAATGCATCATCTTAGTCAAAGAAGATCTTTGGTATAGTAACCGACATGAGCAGGATGAAGTCAGTGAGAGGTTCTAAATGTCAGTTTGGATACTTTCTGTGAATTTCCCAGCTCTAATATATGACTCTACAACATGTCCATCTGTTTGTATGTGCAGGATTTAAAAACAAGCGTCCCTGCTGGGAAGCATTTATCCATCTCACAGTATTAAAAATGAGCCTCAGATTGAAGATGGCATCAGGAAAATCTACAGTTACTATTGAACTTGCATATTATGTGCAGCATTCAGCCTAATAATTAGGGTCTGCTATTCTGTCTGTACAAATACACTGATGACAAAGCACATGAAATTCTATGAGTCATTTCAGCAGCATGCTTCAATAAACAAGTGCTCTGTAATAATTTTGCTGCTATGAAGCTGTGCAGAAAGAAACAATCATTTAGAGCAGAATTCTGCCAATTTTACAAAGACTGATCAACACAGACAATAAAGAAGTTCATTCATTACTCTGACATGCAGCGGCTCGTCTGCCTTTTGGCCTTACCCGGCGTGAGGGAAAATTGATGTTTAATGCACTTGAATGAAATTGATCCCTCTTCAGTAGTTGTAAATATTAGGATGTGAAAGAAGCTGAAACCAAAATCTTTCACCTAGCGCAATCTCTTGAGAATGTCTCTGCCATGTGATGCTCACCCTTAAATCAGCTCTACTGGCTGCAGACCAGATTGACTTGGAAAGTCTCCAGCTCCTCTGTGGCTGGGATTACATCCTAATGTTCCATGTCTACATTAAAGATTTAGGGAAGCCTTGAAAAGCCTTTGAGCAAAGCAAGCGTCCGACGCACAAAAACATACCAACTAAATTCTTAAAATTCCTGACTTGAAGACAGACCAGGATTCACCTGAGAAAGTAAAAGTAGTAATTCATAATTCAACTCGTTCCTCTGTAATTATCTCGACTGCTGCCAAAACAAAAACGTACAGAAGTCAGATTCCTTCAGATTCTTTGCCCCAAACCACAACACTGTAGATACACACACCTGCATCTGTGTTGAGAAGGATACACATCCAGTGATTCATCTGTCATATAAACTTCTTCATATTCCCACTGACAAGAAAATAATAATTCTGAGTAAGTATAACAGAAATCAACAGCACATGAAGTTTGGTGAAGCTTGTGCAGGTGCAAAAATGAGCCTCTTTCTAAAGTTCACAGTGCAGTCACAGATTATGACTCTCTGCGACCTAAGTGCACTCATATGTAGGAATATGGTTAAGTAAATAGTAGTAAGTTCAACAGTTCACAAAATGTCACAGCAAGATAAAGCAGGGGAAATATTCAAAATGAAGCATACATTTAAACTGACACTGTTTTTTTTCAAAGTGGTTAAAACATGTTTTTCTGCTGACCCTGTCCACAGCAGCTCATCACTCAGCTTCTGTACAGGTGCTCCTGCTGTTCTCTACATCAACTCTACTCCAGGTAATATAAGAACCTCACACAACGCCACGACAAATATCCAAAACTATTCCTTTAAAGTCAACATGTGCTCACCTGCAGCATAGCAGCAGCCAGGTACACAGACATGAAGATGGGTGTCAGTGTGGTGTGGCCACTCTTCATCAGGTGGATGGTGTAGAGGAAGATTATGTGACCAGGAATCACCAAAAGGAGGAGCACCTGAGCAGACCTGTGATTGGCTCCTGAGAAAATACAACATGGAGTGAGGAAATAAGGTTAATGGTGAATGTGAGGAAACCATGTCTGTCTTTCTAAAACACAAACAAACTGCCTGGTAGGACGGAGACAGAGACATGCAGCAGCTCACCGAGCTGAAAACTGCTGTTTACAACTAACAGTTTGAAGCTTAACAAACCTGCAGACACAGTCAAAGTCACTGAGATCACATGTTTGATGTGAACATTGACTGAAGCTCCTTTACTTTATGAAATGCTAATCGTGTGCTTATGCACTCACCTGTACCACAGAATGTGCGGCAGGGGTAGTAGCAGCCTTTGGCCTCGTCAGGAACCTCCCCAGGAGCACAGTGGAAATGCAGGTGAGTGGAGATCCTGCTGGACTGGATAGCCACCAGGTTCCCTCCGATACCTGGACGACATAGAGATGTGAAAGATTATTTTGTCAATTCATTTGTAAATGATTTGGTCTATAAAACATCAGAAAACAGTGGAAAATGTTGAAAAGTGTTTTCCACAGCTTTCTACATTCAGGAACTTTGTCTGTAACCGTACTGGAAAATTAGCTCCACCAACTAATTATCTCAACATCTCACACATTAATTCATTTTCTTTTGCAGATTTTCTGGGAATTCATTAAACACTCAATTTTGTATGGAAACCTGGTTAAAATAGCTGCTGTGAAAAATGTCTGTTTAATTTCTTTTTCCACCATCAGAACAAACGAAGTGCTGCTGCAGAGCTGCAGTCAAATGGTTGCTTGACAGCTCCACTGTAGATATTGCAGTGTAGGTTTTGAGTTTCAGCTCAGCATCAGATTCTACCCACTGAAATCACCACAACACATTCACTACTAGTCAAAAGTTTTAGAAAATTTTACAGTTTTTATTGAAAGTCCAGTGATTAATGGTACAAAGGTCACTGGTAAACGGCTCATGGTAAAAAAAAAAAAATGTTGAGTTCACCAAAGATCAAAACTCTTCAGGCCTTTTTCAGGGATGAAGAAGTTGGTGAACTTTCATCTTTCCTGCAGCAGTGGAAGTAAATAAAAGTTAATGTAAACAGGTTGATGACTGACACACACTCTGTCTGTACAAAGACAGTGATGGAACAAACTGTGCTGCTAACAATAGAAGAACAGAACCAGGCAGAGGCTTCACATGATGAAGACCATCACAGTCTCCAGACCTGAACCCCCATGGGGCTGGTTTGGGATGAACTGGTAAGAAGGTGAAAGCGAAGCAACAAGCGCAGTACATAAGTGAAAACTCAACTTTCTGAACAATGATTGATTCCCATTGTCCAAACCTCCTCCTGAACATTGAGTAGGTCTGATCAACAGATACTGGAAGCCATACCACTTATGCTTATAGGGTTGCGGGGGGTCTGGAGCCAATCCCAAATGTCACTGGGTGAGGGCGGAGTACATCCTGGACAGGTCGCCAGTCCACCACAGGGCATATGTCAGCCAATCAACCATTCACGCCTATGGGCACTTTAGAGTCGCCAATTAACCTGCATATGTTTGGTATGTGGGAGGAGGCCTATCCCAGGCCTTGGGTTGGGACCCAGAACCTTTTTGCTGTGAGGTGACAGTGCTATCCACTGCAACACTGTACTGCCCCAAAGAAAGTTCAACAGTTATTAAATCCAAGGTTCACTGACTGTTTCCAACAGAGCTCTGAATGTCTAATGACTGTGTTCAATAAAGACGCAAAAGATAATAATTGTTTGTGTGATATTATCTTAGTGACTTGTGACCAATCACTGCAGAAAGCAGGTCATTCCACAGAGTTCACATACTTTTTCTTGCCACTGTTTGCACTGTGCACCAAAATACTGAACAGACTCCTAAAGTGGAATTCAAGGTCAGGACTTTACCATGCTGTTGGAGCACTACTTGTGAAAATAGAGCCCAGAGAGCAATGATCAGCGTGTGTGTGTGTGTGTGTGTGTTACTCAACAAGCTGGTTTTTTCAACTTTCTTAATCTTGTCTTTGCTATAAACAATCTCAACTATCGGAAACAAAACACAACAAGTCCAAAATGACCCCATGTGATGTCTCAGTAGTCGCTGTATCTCTGGCATGTACTTCTATCAGCTCCAGTAAAGTGTAGCTACAGCAGCTTTGTGCAAGGGCTGAGCAATTACCTCAACACACAGCTAGAAATGTAGCTGCAAGATAATTACTGGGATGAAAACAAAGAGAAAGCTAAAATCTGCCACACTATATTCTGTCTTTTCATCTTTTAGTTTTTTCTCCCTCCCTAGTTACTGGGTAGTTTTGCCTTTTCATGCCTCTAAAAGCAACGGCTTTAACATTGCTTTGTATTAATCACCAATGTGAACCACTGCTGAGTTCAGGAAATGAGGGGAAGGTTAACTGATGATATCTTGGTCTTTTTTCACACTGTCACAAACATTTACCACATTTTTACTAGACAGTGAAATGATCATTGTCCTTGTTTAAAGCAGCTCTGTAGCTCAATTTTCCTCATGTAAAATTTTAATTAACATCAAGCAGATGAACAGTCAGGGTGAATGTGGCTACTTTACATTCACATGCTGCAGCGATCACACCTTCCCTTTAGCAAGTAATGCACAGACTAACTTCCTGTGCCTCTCATCCTCCTAGCCACAGTCTGGTGACTAAGCCCTGCAGCAGGACTCGCATACTTGCAGATATAAACAACACAGGAGCAGACAGATGGGCACAGAGCTGCTCAGAGGAGGAGGAGGAGGAGCCTTTTTGTTCAGACTGGACCTAAGCAGAGCTGGAAAACAGCTTTCTTTATTCAGAATCATAAAAAATGCATCACCTAAATTCTTGCTGTGCAGCGATTAAACACATCTTCTATAGTGACTGTTCTGTAAACCGGGCTGTGTGTCTCAGACCCCCCCCCCCCCCCCCCCCAGCTCTAAACAGGCTTGTTATTGTGATGACTATATTAAATTAGACACTGCCAACGCCTCAGGGTGATGTCCACTTATATCAATCTATTGTAGCTCTTTGTCCGCCTGCTGACATTTTATTGGAGCATTACAAGCGCTCCTGTAAACGCTCCTGGGCCTGGAAACAGACACAATGTTACAATGAGCACTCACACTCGCTCTGCCTCGCCTCACACACCTGTCCTCACACTACATGCGGCTGATCAGGTGTGGGTCTTGGTCTTGGTTTTGGTCTCTTTACAGACGTGACAGTGTGATGACAAATCTTCAGGAAGACGCACATGGTTACTGCACCCAACTGTTGTTCGCCAAGAAATATTTCCAGCACACAGCACACTTCCCTTAACACCCCAATTGTCCGTCTGTTACACCTCTCTTGATTTATCTATTGTCAGACATTTATTTCTCTTCTTGTGCGATTCATTCAGGGTGTCCTGCCTGGCTCACTGGGACTTTTCATTCAGTATTTGGGTAAACTGACTCGCCTTCATGGTGCCATCTATAAATGTCATCTCCCCTACAGCCTTTGTACTCACATACCCCCATATCAGCTCACTCCCACCTCCATGTTTCACGGTCGGCACAGTGACGGCTCTGTTCTCAGTGTCCCAGTAAGTCATGGCTGTGTCACGGTGGGCCAGCATGGACCCTGAAGCTTACACAGCTAAATGGATTTATTATCTACATGTGTGTGTATCCTATTGTGACAAGTCAAAATGTCCACTTGTAGACTTGTCTGAATTCACTGGACGTGATGAGAAGAAAATGTGAACCTTATATTTTTGCTCCTATTTTTATGTCAAAACAGCAAGGGGGTAAGAAGGTATGAGGGGGCAGAGGTAGAGTGAAGGAGGTTTGGGGGCGATCCAGCTTATTCAGGTCACTGGGTATGACAGACGGAATGAAGACGAGGAGGATCTGCAGCGTGGCTATATGGGGAACTGCAGGGGGTCTACGCTCCTCTCCTGCTCTGCCCGAGGGTGGGGTGGGGGGGGCGGGGGCTGCTCATCTCATCCTGCTCCGCATTTCATTTCATTTTGTGTATTTGCACAGGTCGAACATAAAGAAACATAAAACATCACCCAACACAAAACAAATAACAAGGTGAGGGGAAAAACAGAACAAGATGAATAAGATGACCCATTTGTGTGAAATTTTGTCATAACTGCTGTGTGAAGTCTTGAGTAATGGCTAAAAAGTGTTTTGTGAGGTCACAGTGACCTTTGACCTTTAACCAACAAAAACTAATCAGTTCGTTCTTGAGTCCAGGTGAATGTTTGTGCCAAATTTGAAGAAGTTCTGTCAATGTGTTACTGAGATATCGTGTCCATGAGAATGGAACGGATGTACATAATCTGGCTGTTGCTGGTGTGGAGGAAAAAAAAAAACCCACCAGGTCCATTTGTGACGTGACATGATAGACTGAAGCTAATGAAAAAGGAAATTGACTGACAGACACTTCTTCAATATCAGAACGCCTTTAAGACTTTCAATATTAATATAGTTTAAGCGACCATAGATACCTTCCATTACACTAATGTATTAAAATGACACAGTGGAGTTCAGAGCGATAAAAAAAAAAGGTTTTCTCTCTCTCTTTTTTCATTTAACCTGTCACTCTTTCTTTAAAAAGCTCTGCACATCTCCCTGCCCACAGAGTGTCCTCTCACTGTCTCTTTCCTGTCTGCCCTTTGTGGAGCTGTAGTTTTTATCAGGACATGACCCGTTTTAATCAGCTGAAATACACAAGACGACTCTTCTCTTCCCGTGTTTGCAGCGACTTGTTTTTTTTTTTTTCTGACACTGCACACAAAATAAAACATCCTTGCCCGCACAAACCAACACACGCTTGTTTCCCCAGCTGTTCTGTGTCCAGGATATGTCTCGACGGAAAACCAATTAGAGTCAGAATCGTACTCCATCTCGTTAAATGTCTCTCATTAATGCCATTTAATTAAAATCTTATCTGTTGTTGTGGAGGTGCCAGAGCCCTGGCAACCATGGCTGAGCCTGTTAGAGGGAGATGGAAGCAGGAGGGGATGGAAGAAGACCAGTTTTATGAAGTGGAGACAGACGGAGCACGGCCCTCTGCCCAAACCAGTCTCATTAGCTAACATATTTATGCTGATGAGCATTCACAGTCTTTTTAGTGACCCTCATTTATCCAGGGGCTGTTGACTGAGCACACTAGTTTCTTCATTGACACCTGGAAGCTGCACAGCACAAGACAAATAGACTCTATTGTGCCTCATCCATCTTGTGAATAAACACTTTATTTCTATCACATCTCCGAGGGTCAAAAACTGCAGTAAATACAAAACTGAGCAGGATGAAGAAAACACACAACAGTTTCAACTAAACAGCTTGTTCCTGTCCGATATGTAAAATAAAAAATAGAGTGTATCACTTCTGCTCATGAAGACAGGTGCTCATTAAACCATCGTTTAACTAACCACATGTTTTACTTCTCACCACAAAGATTTAGGAACAGATTTAAGTCAACAAGATACAACAACTTTACATTTCAACGTTTATTTTTACCATTTAATCAATGAGGGTACTGGAGGGATTATAAATTATAAGTACTCTATTAATAATTAAATGTTGTTTTCTCATTTCAAGGAAAATAAGCGCTGTGACAACTACACAACAGAGAGCTTTTCAAAAATGTGCTTAATTTTAGAAATATCTCATAATTACTGCTGGCGGTTGCAATGACCTTGACCTTTGACCACCAAAATCTAATCAGTTCATTCTTGAGTCCAAATGAATGTTTGTGCCAAATTTCAAGAGATTCCCTCCAGGTTTCTGAGATATCAAGTTCACGAGAATGAGACAGCCTGAAAACATAAAGCCCTCTGCACTGAGGCATAAAAAATGTAGCTTGAGTTTCCACTTTTCTTCTTCTTTGTTGACTCCATTTCACCTCGAAACAGCCGTAACCAATTTTATAATAAATATCAAAATCTCAACACATCTTCACAAGTGAACAGCTTTAAACCCTCCCGTTCTCTTTCTTTCCCTTTTCTATCACACTTCCTCACTTCATTGTCTCTCCTCTGTATGTGTCTCACTCACTGGCTCGACTAGCAGTGATTGGCTGGGCAGTGCCACATGACCAGTGCTGTAAAGGCTAGAAAAGGTGCATCAGTTAAAATAGAAATGTTCCGTCAAAATGTAATAATTCTCAATAATTGACAATAATTTTATTTGTCCAGGTCCAGATAGGACAGCGTCTGAGTGCAGAACCCGGTCTGCCTATCAAAACCATGACACTGTGTGAGTGAAAGTGAAAGGTGCATACAGGTATCCTAAAAACAACAGGAAGTTTGACACGGTCAGCGTCAGTGTCAGCAGCAGCAGCAGCTGTGACACAGACAAATAATTTGCATTTTGTATCAGTCACACAGACAGATTCAGTGTGACTTCATTTCCCAAGGAAAACATGAACTGTGATCAGCGAGGGAGTTTGATAATAACATTTTATCAAATGTCAGTCCAGTTCACAAACATGAATGAATGAAGATGTTTCCATTTCATCTGTCTGTCTGTCTGCCTGCCTGTCTGCCTGCCTGTCTGCCTGCCTGCCTGCCTGCCTGCCTGCCTGCCTGCCTGCCTGCCTGCCTGCCTGCCTGTCTGTCTGTTCACAGTAATTTACTCGGATAGAAAAAGGTCCTACTTTATTACAAGAGCACAGGCCATTCTGGTTTTAGCTGTGGACAATGGATGTACACAGGTAACAGGGATTTGTAAATGAAGGTCATGGTATGTCAGATGATGTAGTGGTCTACTCTGCTCATCAAGCACTGATCGTTTGCACCAACACAGAGGTTGGACTCCTGCAGGAGGTGAGAGGGACACTGAACACTTTCACAGACCTTTACCACTGACTCTTGTGTCCTACACTTTCACAGAGGAGAAATATAGGATGTGGGATTAAAGAAATCTAAGTGGGTTTCTTTACCTATGTATATGTCTTTACTAAATCCCTCAGGATTTATGAAGCTATTATTTTAAAACCTTTGGTCTAGTCTTTGACCAGATTCTCCTTCTGTGTTCGTGCCTCAGGGGGAAAACAACTGCAAATCAAATCATCGCCTTTCAGAGTGAAGGAAGGGGAGACGCTAAATCTGTGACTCACCGTTGATAACTGGGGTGTAGACGACGATGCCAGCCAGATTTGGGTCAGACACTGTTTTGTCCAGGATGAGCCCTCCAATGCTGCAGAACACAACACAATCAGACCATTAACTGGTGTTTCAGTGTCTGTGTGAGAGACGACAGAGGGAGACAAAAAGGGGCATCGACAGAGAAGCAGAGCATTGTCTCCATCTAAATGATGTCCACAGTGGATTGATGTGCTGCTCTATAAATGACACTGCCTGGGAGAGAAAAGAGGAGGAATGAAGGATGTTTCAGCTGTTTTCAGTTCATGTCTCCAGAGCCGATATTTCTGTTTCTCCACTATTTACTTTCCTCTATTAAAGCCTGAGAAATATGGTGTCACCTGCACTGAGAGGTGAGAGCTAGAGGGAGCGACACAGTCATTCCCTTCCCACTGGCTGCATCTGTAAGGCTCAAGGGGACCCGAGGGTGTATGTGCTCGGGTGCTGCAATTTGTTTAGGGGGATGAGTCATCAAGCAAACCAGACACTGGGAGACACAGAGTAGCTGTTCCTTCCCCTTTGAAGACTAAACACACACACACACACACACACACACACACACACACATAGAATTACATACACAAACACAGGACACACACCTGCTGATGACCATGGCAGTGATGACTGGCTCCCATCCAGAGTAGAGCAGGGTGCGGCTGGCTGGGTGCTTGGAGGAGATGACGATCCACAGAGGAGTCAGACACATGAAGAAGGCACAGACCAGTGATGACACATACGGGTAGGAATCTGAGGAAGAGGAAGAGAGCCGTTCATTTTTCCTCTGGGTGGGGATTTGGAGTTTAATGCAGGGAAACCACATGGGTGCAGTTTGAAATTTGTCAATACTGGTGCCAATAAAATGTAATGGTGTCCAAATCATACACTGTCAATACTTGGACATTTCTTTATACTGAGTCACTTTTTCAAAACGTTTCACTAACATGCAGCTTGGCACAACAGTTAATGTCACGTCCAAAACTAATGCAAAAAAAGACTGATCCACATCTCAGGATCAAATCTGCTACAAGACACTAGATGTATTTCCATTAACTTGCCTAATTTGAAACTGTGAACTTAAAAACGAGTAATGGAAACGTGAATCTTTGAAAACTCTCAAATGTCGCAAAAAAAGGATGCACTTGCATGAGGTGGTTTTTCAGACGATTCCAAAAAGCAAGATTTTGCGAAATTGAAATGTAAACACTTTTCACATTCAATCGTGGTTCCTGTAGTATCAGGCCCCAGGGAGCCAGTTCCAACAGAGAGGCAGACTTCTACTGTCATATTTCATTGAAATGATATCATGAGAAGGGAAAACCTAGCTTCATTCACATAACATTACACATAACACAGTTTAATCCTGAGAGGTTTGGTGGTGGTTGAGATTGAGTGAGAAAACACTTCATCAGTTGTGGTCATTTAATGCATTTTGTTTTGAAGGAATGAAAATGAGTTTAGCCCATTTTGATATCTATTGTGCAGACTGTGAGTTTTAATGAAGCAACTAAATGTGAGAACAAGTGAAGGAGGAACGTAAACATGTTTTTCTATAATATCCTTCCCTCCTTTCTCAATAACCTCCCCCATGAAACTGACGGACAAACCTAATACTCTGGGCTTGAGTACCACACTGTGCAATTGGATATTGGCCTTCCTCACAGTGGACCCCAGACAGTTCAGACTAGCAGTCACACCTCCTCCAGTCTTGCACAGGCTGCAAAGAGCCTGACTGGAATTAATTGGTTGATTTCGATGCTGTGAACTGATTGACCTGGCAGCCTAAAGATGTTCTTTAATTTAATAGTTTAATCATACTATTATTATTATTATTATTATCACCAAATAAGATGATTATCTCTCCCTTTTTAAACCGTAACACAGTCACACGTTTACTCAGAGATATTTTATTTTATCGGTTAAAAAAATCGATAGCGATAATCAGAAAATGCTGAATATTACCACCGATAATCACCAGGCCAATAATCAGTTGATCCCTACAGTATATACAGTATGTGCTGCCATACCAGCAAACTTCAGAGCAGTTTCTCTCCTCATGCTGTGAGACCACTGAATTCATCCTCCACACTCCACCAGAATACTCTGATTTTTATGACTGACTGATTTTTATTTATTCATTCAACTTTTGATCTTTGTGAGTATGTGAGAAGGACTCCATCAGTAACCTCATTATAAACTATTGTATTATGCTGCAGAACAATAATTATATTGAATTTACAATCTCCATTTCAAGTGTTTAACGTTGACCCAGCAGCAGCCACACAAGAACTTTGTCTTCATGAAATAGCCTCTGACATGTCACATGAGCAGAGCTTGGCTTAGATTAGGAGACAGCTGATCACATGACGCTATCACAGACGTGTCTAAAAATCTGTCCAAGCATTTTAATACTAAGAGTTCTCAATATTCAGTCTTCTGGACACGGCCAAATGAACCTGGCACCTGCTACACAGGCCTGGGTCATAAAAAGCTGAGGGCCCCTCCTGATCTCCCATTCTTCCCACATGTATCTATCACATGTAGACCACAGAGCAGATTTTAAACACAACTTTAACTGAAATAAATATAACATAATATAAAACTATATTTCTTACATATTACTTTGGCCACTCTACATGAAAAGCTGCCAGATAAAATCACTTCTGTGTAAAATATTCTTGGATAAATTTGCTATTACTTATATTATCACAATCAGATTAAGACAATGTTGACACAATGTCCTCCAGTCTGGGCGATACTGGCCCATTTCAATCAGCAAACATTAGACATAAATTCATTCATGAAACATGATGTCATCCATTTCAAAAGTGTCATTCTCGACCTGTTAACTCAGTGAGCTCCCTCACCTCTTTTGTACAAGTTGCTCTCAGCAGCTTTGGACACTCTGCGAAACACTCTTACTCACAATATTAACTGTTCACTTTATCTGCATGTTCACTATAAGCAAGCATTTGGTGAGCTTACTGTAGAATGCAGACTGGAAACGGGGGGAAACAAAGAAACAACATGGTGTCAAGACTCCAGGGAGTCACTGCGCCCAGACAAGAAACAGTACCACATATAACCCCTGTGCAGCCATGTATAACACCTACATCGACATTTTTACACTTTGTGTTTTGTATGGATTAAACAAACAAGATACAGCAAATGGACTTTGGCAGATACATGATAATATTCAATATCGTGGTATTTCCTATTATAGTCTATATTCTCCACCATATACAATATTTATCCAAGCATCAACCCCTGAGGCTGAAACATGAAGCATCAACACTGAAATGCTAAAAACTGCAGTTCCTCTAATGACCACTAGAGTCTGGCTCCAACAGTGAGTCAATCCCCATAGACTTCCATATTCAAAGGTCCAACTTTACAGCAGAAATAAACATGTTTACAGCCTGGTACAAAAACAGTGCTGATCTCTAGAACTAATTTCCTCCTTCATGACACCTGTTTGTATAACTCACCGCTTTACATTTTATTAAGGCTTAATGTTACGTATAATTGAGGGCGTGGCCACTTTGAGTGACAGGTGGGTGAGTGTATGTTTGACACAACCCGACATTCACCAAAAGTATCATCTCCACACATGCTCCACCTCTTTGACCATTTTTAGATTAGCTGGGAGTTAGGGGCGGAGTCAGGCTCTGCCAAGATGGCAGCATGGCTTATACCTGATACATAAAATACAATAATATAATTATACATATATACATTTTGGATATTGCCCAAGCCTAAAGCAAGCCAGCAGCTGCTGGGTAACCCTTATACTGGACAGATAGTGACAGTGGTAACAATCTTCTCATCAAGAAAGTGAATAATAATAATTCCCTAAAATGTCAAACTATTCCTTTAAGACTATAAAAACAACAAACTGAACTAATCTAAATGAAACTGCAGTTTGACTTGGTTAATAATGGTGAATGTGAGTGTAGCCTGCTTTTCTCTGACTATAATAATAAATATATAAATATTAAGTCTTTTCGCCATGTGACGGGAATTTAAAAGTTGCAGGCACAAGCTGGTTGAATTCTCTAAATGGAAAAGGTTGTTTCCCGCCTCCTCCATTTCCTGAGTATGAGATATGCCAGCAGAACAAATGGAAAGGAGATCGTCTGTGCCAGAAATACTTGCTCCATCATCATTTACAGTAGACGCTTCATATTATTTCATTTGGCATATTGTGTGTCCCTCAGCTTTCCTTAACATTACCATATTAGGGTTAAAGAAAAGGATATTGCTTTGAATCCAGCCAGGTCTTCAGTGCAGCATCACGAGGAAACACACTCCTGCACAGGAAAGGTTTCTCTACTTTCTCTCTACCACCACGTCTCTTTGTTCAAAGTACAATATAGCACAACACAACTATTTTAAAAGAGTAATTAGGGTAAAGCACCTGCTTAGGGCCACCACCAGATGTTTCCAGCAGGATCCTGTTCCAAGCACTAAATAACTGTCATTAGGAAACAGTCCCAGATTTATTATCTCGATGGTCTCATGGCTGGAGAACAGAAACAGCCCATAGTTCAGTTCAGGCTATAATGGGCTGTAGCAGGAGTTTAGGCATAAAATAAGAAGTGGAGGCAGATATACTGAGGAACACATGTGGGAGAAGAGCATTGTCCCATGGCAGTGGCCCACCTCCCTCTGGAGCAAAGTTCCAGACTTGAACAGAGAATCTGACACCGGCTCTGAATGATTACATGAAGCTGCGACTAACTTCTTTCCAGTTTTCTTGTTGAATAAACAATTGATATTCCTATCCATCTCTGGCTGAAATTCTGTGCCAGGACAAAGAGCGCTGCAGCTGCCAACTTTCTCCTTTGGCTGAGAAATGGCAAGACGCTTCTAATGCATAGGAATGAAATGATGGTCCCAGTAGTGATGAGAAGTACTTCATGTTTTATGATGATAGAAGTGCACACAAAACGCAGCATGAGTTGGCATATGTAGAAGCTACCAGTGAGAGGAGTAGAGATGTTTCTCTGCTAAAGAAACCTCCCACTCAATGTGTTTACTAGGTTACAGGTGATAAAGTTACAGGCATAAAGTCCGATTCATTTTTCTGCAAGTCAATATTAGGTGACTAAGTTTAAAGCACATCCAAAGGACATAAAATGTAGCAGTAAAGAGTCAGATATGACCTGAGGAGTCGGTAGACACCAAACAGAGAAAAAAGAGAGGGCACACTGAACACAGACATCACCCCACATGAATCATCATGTCCCTCTGTGTCTGCTGGACGTGTAAATACACAACTATTTACTAATACATTAGGCAAAATAACTGTATAAAAGGTGATAAAAATATATTTTTTAAATCTTTTAGATAAATAGAACTTTGTGTGACTGGGTATGTATTACATTTCTAGCACACTTAAAGTGTTTAAACTTCTGTCTTGATTTATTATTATCATTATTATTATTATTTTAGATATTTTTTCGTATGTGTAAGGACTTTGTATGAGCCCTCTGGGCTTCCTTCCTTTCCTGCACAATTTAAGCTTCTGTGAAAATAAACTAAATTACACTAAACTAATGTAGTCTAGTGTTGTCAGCTTCTTCCACTTCATCCATGAATACAGCTTTAAAGCTGTTTGTTGTGCCAGTTCACAGCCAAACATCATGTTGCAATGAATTAGAAATATCACACTAAATGATAAAGCCTTTCCTCTTTCCTTGTTATTATGAGCAGTGTGTTATAAGCACAATGTGATTCACCCAATGTGTCTTATTCTGCAGGTGTGAATGCAGCCAGTGTCTCAGTATTAACTCCAGAGCAGCCGTCTCTTCTCATGTGTCTACGTCATGGATTCAGTTCATACACACTGTGCATGATCACAGGCTCTGGCCCTACTTCTTGGTGTTTGTGCTTCATCTCATGCTCTCATTATCCCTGCTTTTATCTGTAGTTGAGCAGCCTAACTAAAGCACTCTGTAACAATCCTGTTTGTTAAAAGCACTCTATAAATAAACTCCGCCGAACTCCACTTGGCTCCCGCAGCTCCTATGTCTCGCCGGCTTCTCCTCTCCACTCGTGTGGTCTACCTCAGAATTAGAAGCATTAGAGGCATTAACTTCTCAGCTGCACAGATAATCATATGATTTAAATTCTGTTTAGTGGAGAGTAAACTGACCATTAGTTCCTATTAGGAGGCAAAGTGTTGCTGTGACAGGGCTCAGGAACAACAGAGCCACTGTCCTGAGAATGATACAGCCAGAAAACCTCACTGTGTTTCATACATTTAGCTCACAGGACTCAACTGTTCCTTTCACAGTGGAGAACATCTATGTCATACAATTAGACCTGACAGCGTTAGCTAGAGTGAGACACTCTCCAGAGGAAACAGCTTTCAGTGTCACTGCATTGAGTAATAGGAGGTGGTGCGACACAGGTCTGGGTGTGACAGGAATCATGTGGAATGTGCGGTTGGAGGAAAACAGATGGTCTGTTCTGTGACTGGAGCAGAGCCGCTGCAGAGTGAGGCAGGAGCGACCTCTGCTGGCTGACTGTGGGAAGTGTATCACTGCACAGCACCACAAACACCTGAGCTTACAACATTTCTAATTGAGAGACGATGAACCAAACTGAGGGGAAGCAGAGAGTGTTGATATTTTTCAAAGCACAACTTTTTAGTTTGGCTGTTAATTGAATTTTATTTATCTATATGTCTATTCATTTATACATTTTGGTATGTCATTTTATTCTATGGTTATCATTTTCCTTTTAATACCCTACTTTTATTTCTGGTTATTTTATTTCTACTTTTTATCTCTGGTTTTATTCTCGTCCAAACATTTCTTCCCTTTTACCATTTAATTATCTTATCTTTATGACTCTCGTTATCTTTGCTCTCCTGTCTTCATTGTTTCTGAAAGCAAATTTATGAGATTTATGATAGTGTTTCCTCAGTTCCTGTTATTATAGTCTTATTTTTATTGTTTTTTATTCATCACTTACATTCATATGTGATGAACAGAGAAGTGAAATTATACCCATCAGTCATGTTGCACTCTAAAGCTGCTTTAACACTGTTGCCTGTTCATGTTCACACAGACTCTACAAATAAACAAGAGCTGGAAGCACTAAGTTGTATGGACTGACAGATAGCTCATGATTGGACAACTGCCAAGTGAAACAAGTAATAAGACACAACAAACATCCTGTTACTTGCTGACCATGGACTGGTGGCTCAGTATTGCAGTTTTTCTCATTGTGTTTGTACAAACTTCCACTGTATCCATACATAGTTCACTACTAAAGTTTTCTCATTGTGTTGATGCAATTCTCATCTGATTCTGACTCATGAAAACAATTTATACCTTCATCAGATAGAATGGCAGACCTCTCACTCACTTTCATACTGTCCTGCAGCATCAGTGTTTTCAATCAAATCACTTTAAACTTTATTTAAATATGTATGAAAGAGAAAGGCCAGCCACACACACACACACACACACACACACACACACACACACACAGGTACACCTGTTCAACTGCTTGTTAATGCAAATATCTAATAGGTCAATCACATGGCAGCAACTCAATGCACTTAGGCATGTAGACATGGTCATGACGGTCTGCTGAAGTTCAAACCGAGCATCAGAAAGGGGAAGAAAGGTGATTTAAGTGACTTTGAATGTGGCATGGTTGTTGGTGTCAAACAGGCTGGTCTGAGTATTTCAGAAACTGCTGATCTACTGGGATTTTCACGCACAACCATCTCTAGGGTTTTACAGAGAATGGTCCAAAAAAGAGAAAATATCCAGTGAGCGGCAGTTCTCTGGGCCAAAATGCCTTGTTGATGCCAGAGGTCAAAAGAGAATGGCCAGACTGGTTGGGGCAGATAGAAAGGCAACAGTAAATCAAATAACCACTCGTTACAACCAAGGTATGCAGAAGAACATCTCTGAACGCAAAACACATGGAACCTTGAAGCAGATGAGCTACAGGAGCAAAGACCACACCAGGTGCCACTCAAAATTGGACAATAGAAGATTTGGAATAAAGTTGCCTGGTCGGATGAGTCTCTATTTTGACATTCGGATGGCAGGGTCAGAATTTGCCATAAACAACATGAAAGCATGGATCTATCCTGCCTTGTATCACTGTTCAGGCTGATGGTGGTGGTGTAATGCTGTAGGGGATATTTTCTTAGCACACTTTGGGCCCCTTAGTACCAATTGAGCATCGTTTAAACGCCATAGCCTACCTGAGTATTGTTGCTGACTATGTCCATCCCTTTATGACCACAGTGCACCCATCTTCTGATGGCTACTTCCAGCAGGATGACGTGCCATGTCACAAAGCTCAAATCATCTTAAACTGGTTTCTTAAACATGACAATGAGTTCACTGTACTCAAATGGCCTCCACAGTCACCAGATCTCAATCCAATAGAGCACCTTTGGGATGTGGTGGAACAGGACATTCACATCATGGATGTGCAGCCGACAAATCTGCAGCAGCTGCGTCAGTATGAACAGAAACCTCTGAGGAATGTTTCCAGCACCTTGTTGAATCTATGCCATGAAGAATTAAGGCAGTTCTGAAGGTGAAAGGGGGTCCAACCCGGTATTAGCAAGGTGTACCTATAAAAATGGCCAGTGATTGTATATATACAGTGTGTGTGGTGTGAATTTACTGTACTATATATATAAGTTTGTTTTTGTTTTGTCTATTTTCTGATGCATAGTTGCATGTTTATCATTTTGCTTTCCTCAGTTACAGGAATTATATTGTATGAATTTACAGATAGTTTTGTAAAACTGCTTTCACACATTTTCTAAACCAGGTCTCGTTTTTTCAAAGCTCTAAACACAAATCCAAAAAATGCTGAAAAAATGCAAAGTGCCACAAATCTGCTGAAAAATGAAACACTGCATTGAAAATATCATACAGTAAAAACATCTCAAAATCAAATCAAAAACTTTTTTCATTATAGTAAATTTTTGGATAAACCAATTTCTAAATATGAAGATCTTCCATAGGCTTGTATATACTTTACTGTATTTCCATACAGTGTTGTAAAGGACAGTACAGTAAAGTAATCTGCTGAGAGGGGTTGAAATGTACACAGTACAATAAAAACCAATGCAATGTTGAAACAGAACATAGTTATTTTTCCAACATGTTACTGTTTGACCTGCAGTACAGTGTTGTGTGTCTGAATATTTTCTTTACTCTATATTTTTTGCAGTTCTTCTTTTCTAAAGTCAGTCAGGTTTTTATCAAGATATCAAAATATTTTGAGTCTAAATCTTGAAGCTCTATGAAAAGGTTTGACTGACCTTTCATGTTTCGACACATGTGAACAAGGTTTTGATTGTTTCAGAGGATTCTGTTTTATGAAATATGCATGACCTTTTCTGAGAACTGCATTAACAGTGGTCAGAATGACGTTCCTGATGTGTAAACTGCATCAAAGCCATTGAGAAAAACCGTAAACTACATGACACCACTAAAGTAACCAGTGTTATCATACTGTGTCAACCTCAATATCGACAAACTGTGATAAACTGATTTCAAATAAAGACAAAAGCTGTAAGTATATGATGACAAGTTGTAACTTTCATACAAAAAATACAACATTTCCTATAACGTCCTCTGCTTCTTGCTGTCATTCCGAGCCAGCCTGAGTTAAAATGATTCAACACTATACAAATTCAGAGAAAGAGTAGCGTCCTCGTCTCTGTTGTGCAATAAAGGGATCTCAGTTCTCATGATGAACAGAGTGTACAGTCCTGAACAGAGGTCAGTGGAGGCTGTGAGTCCTCAGTAGCCTCAGCAGCTTCACAATTACCAGCTTTGTACCACATTCTTACTTAAAACCAATTCTAGGCAGGTTTTAGTGCACACACAACAAAACAGATACAGTTGTTAACATTCACAGCTGGAAAACTAGAATCACCACCTCGCGGTTAGTTCCTCCACCAAGTAGTCAAGTTGCAGGAAATATGATCACAATCTTGAAAAATGGCCAGAAGCGTTTCTTCAGAACATTATGATGATAGCGTATGAATTTGTGAGTTATGGCCAAAAACGCACTTTGACCCCTTAACCACCAAAATCTAATCAGTTCATCTTTGAGTCCAAGTGAATGTTTGTGCTTAATCTGATGAAATTCCCTCTCAGCGGTCTTGAGATATCACATTGAAGGAGTCAAACACATGTTTTGTGAGGTCTCACTGAGCTTGACCTTTGAAAACCTCTGCTGAGGTAAGGGGTTAAAACCTGTAAACTGTTGGCTCTCTGTGGGTCATGGTTGGCCCCTCCTGATCTGGTCATAGAGTCTGTGTGTGACTGTGGCAGGTAAAGGTAGGAGTTATTCACTTACCCAGGCACTTGTAGAGGCCCTGACTTATCCAGGCCAGGATTGCCAACGTTATGAGGTCACCAAAACTGGCGGCAATGGGTGTGGCTACGTTGTCTGGGTTGATGCCCGTCTTCTTGGAACCCACAATCACACCCACCATGATGATACCTGAACATGATATGAAGAGGGTGGAGCACTTTACTAATGGTCATTAAATGACTGCTGACATTTTTATACACAGAGTGTGTGTTTCAATGTTAGGTCAGTTACAGTGACTCAGCTCCTCCACAGTATCAGCAGTTGCTCTTTAACAGTGGGGCTGTCAGTGTGTGTGTATGTTTACCCTGCAGCAGGGAGGCTATGAAGGCCGTGGCCACACTGCTGGAGCACAGCAGCACAGCGTGGCTCATCTGGAACTTCCCCTCTGGGATCCAACCGAGAATCACGGCTGCTACGGCTGCCAGGAAACCCACCACAGTGGCCTGAACCTGCAGCAGAGAGGGAAGGGGGATTTACTGTCGTGCCCTTGTGATTAAAGAAAACAAGCATGACCATGTGTGTGAAAACAGGACAACAGCTTAAAGGATTAGCAATATCCCCATATATACACAGTTGAGAAAACGCTGATGTTATTGTAGAACATATCGAACACACCGCTCATCCAAACATGATGATGTTGACTGTGAGTAAGTGTGTTTATCGGTGTGTGGGTAGATGATTAGCAGAGCCTGTACTATAGCCTTTAGTCTTACTATACAGACAAAGAGCAGTAGAACAGTCTGAGTGAACGCCCACCTGGGTACAACCAATTACGACCATGTACTATCAGTATAACTTAGCATGTAACACATAGCACACACCATAACCTTACATCCTGTAAATATGACAGAACACACAGGACATGAGATTTACTTATATTAAATATCTATGAATTGAACTGAATTGAGTTTCTTGTACAAATATGGAAAATAAATGAGTACATAAAAATACATTCAATCTGAAGGCATATTTGTGTGGGAGCTGAAAAAATATGGACAACTGGAGTCTGTTAAACTATCACTGCAGTGTTGATTTTTTTTTTATGAAAAGCCAGTATTGGCTCTACATATAGGCAGCAGCTGTGAGTGTGTGATTACCTGCTTCAGTGCCAGGTTGCCTATGATTAGATTCCACTTCTCTATTGGAGAATCCATCTTGCCCACATTCACCTGTGTCAGAGGTAAAGACAGAATAATCAAAAAGAGTATTCCATGACTGCTAAATAACTAGTTCCCTTCATGAACCTGAACATCTGTGGTCCTCATGAAACATAGATCTGTAGTTTGTCGCAGGATAAATAAAAAATAAAAAAAATCGACAGTGATTACAGTGAAAATACAGCTGTTTTCCATACATTGATGGGAATTTATCAACGCTGATTGATGATATTTTTTTTTCGTTTACAATTTCAAATGTGTAAAATCTTCTTTAATTGTAGTGCTGTGCACTGATTCACTCAGCCCCTCTTTATCCCTCCTCTCTCTCCATTTCTCTCACAAACGCACTAACAATGGACCTGTCTGTCATAGTTGGACTAGCCATCGGAGGCAGTGTTGTCCCCTAATGTGTTAAGTAGGAGTCCTTGGCACCCATAAGTGAGTGGTGCCTGAGGGGTACTGGACGTGACTGCAACAGTGGGGCCAGCCCTACAAGCAAATTTATGACTGACTGAGTGACTGACTGGTCTTTATTTCTAATTCCCCTTATAAAAAAAACACTTGAATTTCACATGTGCAAAATCACATGTGAAATTTAACATTTGAAAACATGTTACAATCACATGTGAAATGAGTGGAACACGTGCTGGCACATGAGAAGCGTGGTTTTGGAACATATTTGTGGTGTAATGTGTTAAGTCCATGTAAATTCCCACATGAAACCTGTGGGATTAAATGTGAGACCTAAGTACAGTTTGTTGTTGTTTGTCAGCACTCACATTACTGCACATGTTGAAAGTGTTATGGTGAACTGAAAATCTGCAGTATTTCTGATGTGCATGTGGTACCATGTGGGACCAAATGTAGGAAACACATGTGTCCACATGTCTCTGGATGGGTTTCATGCTTTTACAAAAGAAAATTGTATCATCATATGTAGTCCAACCATTCAGTCTTGTCTCAGTTGTACAGCAGCCTGCTTATATCAATACATATAGCCACACAAGTTTCAAATAACAGTCTATAAATTCTATATGCAAAGATAGTATCAACATTTTAATGGTTCAGGAACTGTATAATAACTGTGACTGGCTGGAAAAGTTTCTTAATGCAGAACTGCATACACTGCTAAAACAATGTGGTCACATGAGGCCCATACCACCTCAGAATGTGGTCAATCAATCAATCAATCATTCAAATCTCAATCCATCGTATCACCTGAGATACATGTTAACGGCAGGTTTGAACAGGTCTTCAGAGCTTGAGGCATGGACACACTGAGCAGGTTCTACTGCCCGGGCTGTAGGACACAGAGGAGTCTTGTCTTCCGTCCCTTGTCTCCAAGGCTGTTCAGCTCCTCAACTCCCAAACATCCCTGTAACCTCTGCTCACACTGCTAGCCCTCCTCTGCCACACTCACACACTCAGACTTGGGTCATGCACAGATCACCCTGTGGACAGGATTCACACAGCTGTTTGTACAACACACTGCACATGTGTGCATTCATGGTTCTTTGAGAAGCAAAACTGTTCCCTCCTCACCACTCTGAGAAACTGGTGGAGTGGTAAATGTTTGATCTGACTGTCTACCTCCCTCTGCAGGAAACCACCTCTCACTCTGCTATATCAGCACATTCCTCTGCTAATTCCTAATCCGCAAGGCTCTTACACCAAAACCCATTCAAGATGCTCCCACAAACTTTCCAAAGTAATTATAACTTCAACTAAGAAGGGGACAGTGACAGTGGAGACAGCCGCACTGGCAGACAAGGTCAGTCTCCAGTGGAGGCTGTAAATTTGTTCTGTTCACTTGACAGAGGAGACAGCCGTAACAGCTGTACAGTTTGTTACAGAGATGACCAATAACTATAAGCTATAAGAGGCTTAGCCTGTGGAGATGAGACACAACCACAAGTGCAGAGTGAGTGAACTGCTATTTTCCTGGTGTCCAGATTATTTCCTCGACTCGTTGACTCACTGTGCACCTCGATGGGAGGAGAGGGTGTGGTGACGCAAATCCAGCGACACACTGCAACCACCTTTATTCATGTCTAACTCGTCTACGTTTATTTTCCATTTTTCAACTAGCTGACGGTCATCATGCAGACAAAAAAACGGTCTAACGGGAATAAAGAATAATGAGTGATTCTTTCAACTCTATAATTCTCAACAGTAAGCAAGTCGAGTGTCCTGCAGACACTCGCTGTACTGTGGTGAGTCTCTTTACAGCTGTCTGAAGGCAGCTACAATTACACACAACAGAACTTCTGCTAATATTTTGTGCAACAGCATCTCTGAATTACACAATAACCACAGAAACCTCAGATCTGATGTTATCAAGAGGTGAGTTGGAGACTGACACGCTGACAAAAGTTCACATGGTCTCATGAAAGACTGTAGATGTGATTTTTGTTGGTTTTGTACCAAACAATCATGATGATCATTTATGTCTGGAGAATATTATTTGTAGGCAAGGGCATCTCTGTAGCAACACAATGCTTATGGTGCTGAAAATGCGACACAACAATGCGGTGACACATTTTACCTTTTTAAAAAAAAATTGCAGCTCCTCTTATGTATGGATGTTGCACTTGGCTACATTGTGATTTTGATTAATTGTGCAGTTCTAATGGAAAACAAGATGACTAACTTATCCAAGACGTCCAGGTTGAATTCAACTCTAAAGATTCACTGTCTGCTCCTGGCAGTATATCTGAGCTCCTGTATTCATATTTTGACAAAATGAGATGCTGTGAAACTGACTTAAAACTTTCCATTGTTCTTTTATTCTGTTGTAGGTCAGCAGCTCTGTGTTTACGAGGCTGGAGCGTAAAAAGCAAGCAAACAGCAGCTGAGTCAATGCAGCATGAAGATGGATTCCACCTCTCTAATTACAACAAGAACAAGTTGTGTCAGAAAATTAAACATATCATCTACAGAGAGAAAAATGGACTCATCAGGAACTGTCTGTGTAGCTTTTCAAATCAGCTGGAGCCAGCTAAAACTGCATTATGAGAATAAACGGGATGACAGCTTCTCAGTCATGAAGGCAACTGTTTGTTACCTCACAGCATGTTCATGAATTTATTTTCTGAAAGTTTTTAATGACAGAAGCAAAACCCATCCTGACTGATCATAAAAACTTGTGTTTGCTGGTTTCCTCATATTTCATCGTGCACTGTAAAATACTTCTCTTTGTGTGTGTGTGTGTGTGTGTGTGTGTGTGTGTGTGTATGTGTGTGTGTGTGTGTGTGTGTCTCTCACCGCTGTGGACAGCCTGGAGGCCAGAGTCATCTCCAGGTTTCCCTTGAGGCCGAGCAGAGCAGGAACCAGGATGAAGATCTCTGTGATGTACTGGAACGCCTCCCAGTGCTGTGGATGACACGATAACAATAACACAATAAAAAACAATTTTTAACTTGTCTGACCTTTTAATTGCTTTATTTTCAGTCAGACTTATTTGGTATTCAAATCCAAATACCAATACCAAAGTATATATATATATATATATATATATAGTATTACAGCAATAATATTGTATATCGCAATATTTCGTCTGGACTGCACTGAGATATTAAAATTGTGGATATCATCCAAACTGAGTACCCTGCAGAGTTTTTGACCAGCTGTAACACTATGGAGCAATGTTTAAACTAATGAGTCCCTGTTTTGTGTGTGTTGAACACAAACACACATACTCTCCACCACTACTCCACTGACTGACAGTTCCTGGTTGTAACAAGCAAAGAAAAGTAACAACATGTAATAAAAGAGTCCACAAAAGCAAACATGGATGTAAATAAATATAAAAATCAGCTTTGCTAAAGTTTTATGAGAAAAGAAAAGGGAACCTTTAATAATCTCAATGTGGCAAACTGTACTCATTCCTCTCAGTAATAACACTGCAGGGGCATCCTCTGATCGTGTAGCCATCTCTGGTTTGTGCCTGTCTTTCTCAGTCGTCTTTTCCTATCATTTCTCTTCATTCTTCTTTCCAATAAAGACAAAAAATGCCCCAAAAAGACTCAAAAAATTAAACAGTTTCTGACCTCTAGTAGCATTATGAAGTAAATATGTGGATCCCTGTTTTGTTTAAGAAGAAGACTGCTGGCAACTGATCATGGGAGTAATGTAGGATTCAAACATTTAACAAAAATCAGCTCTTTAGTGCCTTTTAGTGAATCATGCTAAGTGTAAATGTAGAGCTTTTGTAGTTTTCTACACAGGGCATCTGAAATTGTTAAGATTGTGCCAAGAAATGCAACATCATTAAAAAGAAGTCAAACCACAGCAGTCCGACAATCAGACAGGCTGTATTTACAGCCTCAGGTTAGGCAAACTTATCTGGAGCAGAAAATGAAGGCAAACTATTTTCCACTACATTTCACACACTGACTTCCTGCTACAACTTCAACCTATCCTTAGTAACATAGTTGCGTAAAAGAATTTTCCTGCTGCCCTGGAGTGGCGACTTCCATCAGTGCAAAGGGCATCATCCAGGAATATTTCACAGCCCAGCCACGGACTGTTTACCATTTGGGAGGCAACACACAAGCCTCTGCTCAAATGTAATTGACTCTAACAACTATGACCCACTGCGTCATAGCATATCACTATGTGATATAAAGTGGTGTTACTTTATATCACATACTGCATCACTGCAAATGTGTCTATCTTTATAAGCTGCTCATAGTTTATTCATATCCTGTACGTAACTATAACAACCATTTCTTATTGTGCAGTAAAACCTATTCATAAAATGATATTCCATACATTAGCACTCACACTGTTTCTTCAATAACCTGTATATATATATATATACTGTATATATATATTCATATTAGTGCACTAACATTCACATAGTTTATATACACTTTATGTGTAATTGCAGTTCTTAATAATAATTCAGAATAAAACATTCAGAATAGAAAGGGTTGTTTAAAATACCTACATATTTATTAATAAATAAACATGATTATAGAATGCTTTATGGTCAAATGTTTTGGGTTAAAATGCAATCGAATATTGATACTGATATTGAGCTAAAAGCTGAGAGTAATGAAAAGCATTAGTTTATTTAAGTAATGTGAGGAAACAAATCATGAAATCATGTGAAGTACAGCACTGATGGTGTTTGTTGCTTATTTATTTAATATTAATATATGTTCTTCTCTTTTTCTCTAATCAAAGGTTTTTCACCTAATGAGTAAAGATTTATAACAAGTGACTAATTGAATGGAACCATGTAATTTATCTGTCAATTTAAATGGCTGAATATTTCAAAATAAAAAGAGAGAGGAAAACTTTGTCATTGAGTGGAATCCTGTTAAAAGTTGGGTGGGTGGATCAGCTGCACACATTCTTAAAGGATAACTGGACAGATAAGATGTTTCATTGTTGAGTAATTGTACTTGTTCACTGACAATAAAGATGAATGTAATCTAATGTAATCTAATGTAATCTAATGTAATCTAATGTAATCTAATGTAATCTAATCCTTAGCCTTTAATGCCATCCTGGTTTGAGCCTCATGTATGATGGATTCTGTCTGAATAGTTGTATTGTGACTTGGCTTACCTGCACAATGTCCAGCACCATTCCAGCTGACACAGTTCCAAATCCAGCGAGAAGGAAAGGCACCAGAATCTGCAGTGCCATAGCCAGAGGTGACTCCTTGGGCATATTCTGCAAATCAGATCCCTGCCCTTCACCCTCATCCTCCTCCTCCTCCTCTTCATCTGCCTCCTCCCCAGAAAACCTCCTCTCAGCCAACATGGGCTCTGTTTCAGAGTAGCCTCCGTCTCCACAGTCAGAGACAGTCACAGAGGACCGAGAAGCCCGGTCCAGGTGCCGTCGACTTTCTGCGTAAGATGTCTCTTGTCTGTAGCCGTTCTGGAGGGGGCTGGCCTCAGGTTTAGCTCCGAGGTCCACCATGGCCAGCCGCTCCTCCTGCAGCTTGGTATAACCAGTGGGTACCATGGTCTGGAATAGAGAGGCGATCCGTCCAGAGGAAACAGGTTTCAGGGATAGAGCACTCCACCCACCACCTGCTCCGCTCATACGTACCGTCAGGCTAGAGCCCAGGGACTCCCCTAAAGCTCCTCCCAGACTCTGGATACTCATGATGTGGTCTAGGGCTGCAGTGTCTCATCTCCTGTCATCCAGTCTGAGGGCGATGTCAAGTAAAACACAGTAAAGCTGGTTGACACTGTCTAAGGTGCATGGTCCATGTTTAAAACTGTGTTCAGGGACTCATCAGCCTGGAGAGAGTGGACAAGGAAAGACAACAGAGGAGAGAATAGGAGAACACAGTCTGATGCAAGATAATATCACACTCAGATGTAGCAGCTGAGTCACTTCTTATAAAGAGGAACAAAAACCCTCTTAACTGAGAACCAGAGAACTTAGACTAAATATATGGCAGCTGTTTTCTAATGAATTACAGACCAACTTCTAAGAAATCCTACATCAACCTGATTGACAGGAGTTTGAACCACTGTGTCCACATCACTACAGTAGATTTTAGTTGGTCTCCTGCCACATACCCTCTAAATCCTGCTCACAGTTCAGTGCTGGATTATTAGTTGGCACCCTCAGGCCATAAACACACTACACAAGTGTCCTCATCTCACAGTGCTGTTAGCCACACATTCCTCTGGGTGCTGTGAATGTGGAGACTCAGGCTCTGTTAATAACAAAATCTGAACATAGGAAATGTAACATTATTTATACTTTAGGTTGATGCAAACTGGGAAAGATAATGCTACATCATCAGCATCTGAACACATTAACACATCCTCTTAACATATTAAAACATATAAGAGCTGCTGCTGTTCAATTTCAGTTTGTTTACAGCGGTGTTACTTGCCCTCTGTTGGTAAAGACGGTGTGGAGACCTCGGGCTACAGTTTGTACTCTGCACTACATCATCGTCCAGGCCTCCATAGTACCTTCTGTCTGTCTCTGACTTACTTTACACCACTCATGGTAGTGACGTGGTTCAACGCCTTCCTACAGTACAAGCTAACAATTATCGGTACGTTTACTCAGCATGAAAACATAGGCTAGTCGTGTGGATATCTGTTTATGCTACTTAACACAGCTATGTTAGCTAGCTGTGTAGAAAACAAAACAACAGGAAGCTCAGCGGGGAGAATACAGTAGCCAAAGTTAGCTAGTATGTGGTTCTTCTAGTTGTCACTGGCTTTTCATTTGTTTTCCTGAAGTTACCTTACTGTTGCGGAGATATGTATTCCGGCAGAAGAGCTGCGAGTCTTTCCTGACAGACAGCCACGGAGCCGCGTCAGAGCAAAGAGCACCACCAAAGATCGTCTACGTGAGTTAAGATGAACCACTCAATTTGTAAATGGTGGCTGCAATCCACACACTTATCAAAGTTGTACACATGTGGGTTGTATTAATTCATAACGAGGACCTTAATGATTTTGAGTGTTAGATAGATAAAGGAAACAAAAATTACCTGTTTCTCCTCAGGCCTCATCATTCAGTAAAACAGTAAAAAAAAATGGATTTAGTTTAATCATTATGCTGTAACTAAATCAAATATGTTATTTGCTCTCAACATACAAAGATAAATGAACGATCAGAAACAACTAATCGTGATTGACGGGTTTCGTGGTAAAAACCATTAAAAAAAAAAAAAAAAAAAAAAAAAAAAGCAAGGCGAAGTGAGGCCTCTCGCTCTGCCTCCAGGCTTGAGTCAGAACAGAACAAAAAGTGCCACACTGGTGCCACAAAGATATTTTGATTGTAGTGCGCAGACGCAGAGTGCACCTAGCTGTCGCTTCATAAATCTTGTCGGTTTCTGATCAAATCTGTCAGATGGAGAGTTTTAACGAGGCTCTGCTCTGCTTGTGTTTTAGCCTTCATTTTTTGGATGTATGTGTAGTTTTCTTAGGCCATGAGTCATGAGTTGTTCTCAAAACAGTAGAGGGCGCTGTGTCTTTTCTCGTTAGTGTCTGTTCTCACCTTTCCACCCGGATGTTGCTCTGAGCAGTAACACGTGGATTAAAACAGAACCTCTTCGCTTCAGGAATGGAGTTCACCACGGAGAAAACGAGCTCACAAGCTTTGCTGTCATGTGGCAACGGAGCAGGTCTGTTGGTTTTATGTATCTAGGAGAATGAGAGGACCAATTCTGAGAGTGTGAACGGGAAGTGTGTTAAGATAAGTTAACCTGTTTTAGCTAATGAAGGAGTGCCGGTACAACCCGGCAGATGTTGTTGTTGTTGTTCTCACAGCAACGACGTTTGTGCTTTAAATGTAACGCTGTGGAGATCCTGTTAATGTGTAGAAATTCCTTGAGATTTTTTAAACTTTAAACATCAATGTTAAAAACAGTCGCTTTGTAATTTTGTGCTTCCTTTCTGAACTCTTTAAGCACGTCAGTCAGAAATATATGAAATTAATTTTCACTGCGTTTGCTGTGATACGGTTTGGTGACCTTGTTTGTGTTGCCAGGTCTCAGCGAGACGCTTCTCCTAAAGCCGAGGGCTGGCAGACCCCCGCAGACAGAGAGAGTCCCAAGAAGCAATGGTGAGACTGAACATCACTTCCCTGTATGATGTGTTGTTATTAATTAGATGTTTTACATTATTAATTTGCAGGAAAACCTAGAACATTTTTTTTTATACGGACATATGACGTGTGTGTGTTTTTTTTTTTGTTGTTTGTCAGTGTTGGAGCGGCTGCAGACCTTCCTTCCTCAGATGGCTGAAGCCAACGAGAAACTGAAGCAGCAATTGGAAGTGGCTCCTGCTGGACGCTTCGACATAGAGAACGTGGAGGAGGCACAGAGAGTGATAGAGATGGTGAGAGTCAGTCTGCTGCTAAATCTGTGCTTTCCTGCCTCCACCTAGTCATCCAAATGACTGTCAGACATGTTTGATCTTCTCTAATTGATTATTTCATCCTTTGATTGATCTTTGATTATTTATTGTTATGTTTTTATTTGTTCTTTATACATTGATGCTCATTGTGGTGAATTGTTTTTTCTGAATTTGTCTGTTATTATATTATTTTAGTTTTTAATTTTAGTTGTGATTCCTTCCTCTTGTCAGGACGTTGCCTTGGTGGAGCTCAGCGGGTCAGACAGCGCCTCAGAACATGAAGAGGAGTCGTTGAGTTCTGAGGAGGACTCGGAATTTGATGATGAGCAAGAGATCACAGAGCAGAACCTTAAACTACCTGGAGACAAAGGCAAGAAGAGGAAGGCCAACATCCAGGTTCTGGACCAGCAGGGGGAGTAGATGTGTCACACAGCCGCACAGACTTACAGCTGCGTGTTGAGTTTCTTTTCCCTCTGAGGTGAAGTGGGTAAAACCTCTGCCTCAGGTGTCAAAGGATTTTAACCCGACTTCACAGACACAGAGGCGGTAAACTGAAATTTCCTGCATTGACCTAGACCTGAGTCATTGCCATGGAAACGACAGTAAATGTTATTTCGAATGGGTGGAGGTAACTTTTGTGAAAGTGCCTTCGGAGTCAGAACAGATACTGTGATTACCTCATCCTGTATGGCCAACTGCTGATCATGTGACCTCTCATTGTACATGGAGTGTTCAGGTGTAACACGGTGGATCATCTTGTTTTTATGAGTGTGTTCTTACTGATGTAATGTTCAGGCTGTATTCAGTCTTAAACAAGTTAAACCTAACATGTTAGCCACTTAAATTAATCCTGTTAATTTGTAATTACATGACCATGTTCTCTGGTTAAATTGATCTGATCTTCAGCTCAGTGGCCACTTTATTAGATCCACCTTCCTAATACCAGATAGGAGCCTTCTTTGTCTCCCAGAGCAGCCTGAAGTCTGGGTGTCATGGAGTCAATGAGGTGCTGGAAAGAGATTCTGAACTATTGAGTGTTTAGTGACATGGAGCCTTATTCTGCTGGAAGTAGCCATTAGAAGATGGTGGACTGTGGCCAAAGAGGGATGAACATGGTCACCAACAACACTCAGATACGCTACAGCATGTAAACCATGCTCAGCTGGTAGAAAATATTCCCCACACCATTAAACCACCACCATCTCCAGCAGGGACTGGATCTGCATGTGGCAGCAGAAATCCAGATTCATTAGACCAGGGTACATATTTGTTGTGCTGTGAGTCTGTTCACTGCAGCCTCGGGTTTCTGTTCTTAGCTGACAAGAGAGGAGCACAGTGAGGTTCCTCTCCTCTGCTGCTGTAGTCTGTCCACTTTACAGTTCAATATGTTGTGCCTTCTGAAATGCTTTACTTAATTTATCTTGTGCTTTTCTTTGTGTCACTGGCTGATTTTATTATTCAACTCCTTGAATTGCTTTATCTGAGGACCCAGTTCAGTTAGAAACCATCGTAATGAGGACATTGCTGTGAGGGCATTTTGACAGTGATGGTTATTTGTGATCATCTAGTGGTTGAAATAGCTGTAGACCAGCTGACTTTCACCTTTGAAAGTCAGAAAGGACTCTGACTCTTATTCTACCTCTGATATTAAACAATGACAGAAGAGCACAACTATGAATTAGTTTTAATAATCAGCACTTATGTGTAGTTTCCAGTTGAGCAGTGTGTCTCTGGACTCCTGGTGGGAGGAAACCTGGAGTTGAGTTTAAGACATATCAGCCTGTGCTCTATCAAACTCCAGGTTTCCACATCCTGTTTAAGAGTGTGCATTCATATTGAAAAAAGACCCATCTCATTGTTGAGGTCAAATCAGTGATTGTTTTCCAAACATTCTTGAAGGAGGATTTATTGCAGGATCAGGCTGACTTCACTTTAGCTAGATGTATCCAATAAACTGCCAACTGAGTGTAGTTTATTTTTCCTTTCCTCTCCCTTATTCCCCATTGGGAACCAGCAGGAGCCTTTGTTACACTTGTACCTCATTCATACAGTGTCACAAAATGACACTTTAAGCCGCAGGCTGTATTCTAAGTTTTCCTGAGAGGTCTCTGTGCGTACCTCTGTCAACTAAGACCAAACAACTAACCTTTTTTTTGTTTTCCTGTAGAACAGTCATTGTCCTAAAGAAGAAGAAAAGAGTTCAGAGGTGTGTGTGTGTGTGTGTGTTTTTTCAAAGGGGCCCACGGTCAACAGCTGACAGCAGGCTTTAATGTATGCTGTATTCAAGTCTCAAGGCAGCTTGTAACTTACATACAGCAGGGTTATTTTTTCTCTTTGCTAAACAGTGGCACAAGCTTAAACATTACTACTACTGTTTATTATATGAAGGGGAATACAATGAAAATGTCCGTCAACTCTTTGCGCATGTGACTGTCTATGAGCTCACACACATTAACAGTGAGCACGTATCATTTAGTCTCCTGCTGCAGACATTTTGTTTTTATTTCTTTGTATTTATAAAACTCAAACATGCACATGGAGACTGCAGCTTATTCCAGTGTATAAGACATCCATCGTGTAACTGTGGTTCAGTCTCGGGTCTGTGTGTTTGTCATTATCTCCTCTTTTGTTGACACCAGCTTTACTTTCCCAGACTCCATGTTGTAAAGCAAGAAATAAACAGTTGTATTACTTTAAATATTTTGCAGTGCTACATCCCTCTGAGTGACTGAGTGATGAAGTTACACCATTGGTCGGCTGAGTGATAGACTTTTCCCATTTACCAAAATGATTTGGCGCAAACATTTTCTGTTTCATCTGGAAACTTTTACAGTGGATCACAACAGTTTTACTTTTCAGACCCTTTAGTGACTAGAATCACCTCCTCATGGTTGTCTGCCTCCTCCACTCAGACTAGTTTCAGGTTACATCCCTGTTTATCCAGTCACATACAATATGAACCATTTGTGTGAAATTTCATCATAATTCCTGTGTGAAGTCTTGAGTAATGGCTAAAAAGTGTTTTGTGAGGTCACACTGACCTTGACCTTTGACCACCAAAATCTAATCTGTTCAACCTTAAGGCCAAGTGAATGTTTGTCCCAAACGTGATGAAATTCAGTCAAGGTGTTACTGAGATATTGTGTCAACGAGGATGAGACGGACAGACATCGGAGGCATAAAAAAAAAAAATCTAGAATCTAGACTGTGTGGGCAAACTTTAGCTACTTTCTACAGAAGAGAGTCTCCAGTGCTGCTCTCTCTCTCTCCCTCTCTCTCTCTCTGTGTCTACTCTATATCTGTAATAACAAGCAATTGCTAAAATGATAAATAAATACAAAAAAAATAATAATACTGAACATATTTTTCTTAAATTTGCTGGTCAGTCACAAATGTTTGTATTTTGTAATTTTCCTACCAGATGAACATAGTTGAAAATATCAACAAATCATCAACAAATATAGTTAGCCTACAGAATTAGCAGTCGGATGGTTTTCACGAGGTCTCGGATGGAGTCAAACTCCAGGCCTGAATCACTGTCTCAGACCGCCCCTGTAGCTCTGTAGAATGTAACACTGATTGTGTAGCTTTGCAGGAGCGTGGGTCAGACAGGTGACAGGTGTGAGCTCTAATAACATCACTAACTTCATTCAGCTGTGTGATCTCATTAAAATATGAATTCGGAGAGGTTGTTAGCTTTTGGCATTTCTACAGGACACCAATAGACTAAATTAATAGTACTGAACTGTCATCAAATGTAATGAGTTACATTAATTTTAACAGGGTAATAAGAATCTGTAACCTATTACATTTCAAAAGTAACCTTCTCAACAATTCTTGGAAGTGACTACCTTGTATACAAGCATTGTAAGCCTGACATGCTAATGATAGCAGGTGTCAAATCAGATAAACACTGTTTAATCCTCAAACTGTTGCTCTTGTGTTTTTGGTATTCAAAAGGAAAAACCCATTGACATCAAAAGTATTTGTATTACAATAATAATAATATTAATATTATCTACTGTTGATGCACTTCAGATAACACACTGAATATGTCTCCCCCTATACTATTATTTATAATTATAATAAGAGCAGCAGATCTGGGAAAAGCAGTATCACTGTTTCATCCCAGCATGTTGACATATTTTCCACCGAACAGCAGCATTACACAGTAAAATTCAAACTGAACTTTATTCACCACTGTGAGGCATCACTGGCTGAAGACAGACTTTATTGAGGGGACAGCTCTCACCTTTTCATGAGAAAGAAAACACTTGCTCTTGTAGCCCTTGCTGCCTTCACTGACAATGTGGGACAAATAGAAAACTAATTTCACAACTTCTTCACATTAGTGATGCATAGAAACATCTAGCTGGTCTTCAGAGAAAATAATGTAGTGTTATAACATATAGTCTTCCTCTGCATGACAAATACAATGTGAAAAAATATATCAGATCAGATATTTTTTCCCCTTTAGTTAAAAAAATTTACAAAAAAGTCAAATTTGACGAATGGAAGAGAGAGAAGGTCTAAAGTGAGGATGTGGGAGGAGACATGATGTAAACAACCAGTGTGTGATGATGGAGATAAAATACTAAAGGCTCCACGTAGCTTCATGTAGTGACCAATAAATACTGTTAGTGCTTTACAACTGTACAGATGCATTGATTGCTGACCTCCGGTGTTTTAACTTCTACCCTCGCTACAGTAATGCTGAGGTGTTCTCGCAGGTGTGTCAGTACACAGTGACATCACTGCCTACATCACTGCTTACAGGTGCATTAAAACACTGCTTTTCAACCTGGTGGTAAGTTACTCTTGATTCAAGATCTACTTCCTGGCTTTTTCATAAACACTTGAAAACATCTAGCAATGACCAGGTTGAAAGCTTAGAAAAAAAGCCAGTAAGTTGACCTTGAGCTAAATTACTTTGTTATGGATTCAGTTGTAACCTGAACCTTGTTTTCCCATCATGGATGATCAATTCTGTCCAATGTAGTTGTAGTAGATGTCCTGTGTGGTCACTTAACGCTCCAACACTTAACCTAAAAGCTTCCACACACACCCTTCACATTGATGCAATCATGTACTCATCAGTGTGTGAACTAATAACTGCCTGTTTTCTGCTACAGAACACAACAGCCTGAAGAGGAACCACAGAGATATTAAAGGAATGGTGAAGCATCACAGGTGACAGAGAGGATTGACTTCATCTGATTTTCACTTATGGTAAAGAATTCTTTTATGATTGGTGGAGTTTTGAGAGTGTGTTTTGACACAAAACACACTTTTACGGAACCCAAAACCTTGACAGCAGAGTCAGGAGCAGCTCGGCTCCCGTCAGGTGAAGCAGTGTCCAGCTAAGGTAAATATCCAGGCGGGTAAAAACCACACGTCCCTTGTCCATGATGTGAATTTCACGCAGACAGCCAAGAAAACACAGGCACATTGTCCAAACTGTGGCCCACATATCTCCTATCATTCATACAGTACACACACACACACACACACACACATTCACACACACTGTCCAGAAGCAACGCTGAGAGAAGCCGGATGTCTGAGCGAAGCACACCGATGAGTCCCTTTCTGCTCAGATGTGAGTCAGAGTTCATTGGGAGCGTCTGGGTCTCAGTACTCCACAGTCACTGCTTTGGTCTTGAGGTATTCCAAGAGAGCATCCTCTCCTGTGGATGAGACAGAGCACAAACGTGTGTCAGTCAAACTATAACGCTCAGAGCTTGTTGACCCTGTCACGACTCACCAGGCGTGGAGGTAATGAGCTACATTTACTCTCGTTACTGTAACAAAGTCTTTTTTTTTGTGTACTTGTACTTATTATTGATTTTAAAAAATCAGAAGCTTTACCCGTGTTTGAGTATTTCTTAACTAAAGTATTTCACTTCGCTACATTTAAAGAGGAAATCATTATAGAGTAAAAACAAAAGTCACATGATGGAGTTATGATTCATGATTCAGTGTGTGAGAACGCAACAGATGAAAAGAGTTGAATCAGCAGCTGCAGCACGGAAGCTGCTGCTGTTTGGATCAGCAACAACAGCATCAACAACTACTACGCTGTCTAGCAACTCAGCGTTTTGTCTGTGTAGCTTAAAGTTCTAATCTGTAACTTTTCCACAATAAAATGTGTAAAAACAACTAGACCTATGTTCTATATGTTGTTGAGTTGTGTTCTTACACTATCGTAAATGTTTCCATCAATTCTCAAACCAGAGAAATCTGTGATTTTAATCTTGGGAACGTTTCATTGGTCGCCTGTCAATGACATCATATCCTCGATGATCATGTGTCAGTGTTGTGTTTGTGTGACGGAAGCTGGATCTGAAGTTATCAGTGAAACAAGCTGAGGAAATGTTAGACAGCTCAGCTCCCAGCTGCTGGAGACGTCCTGTCCTGTGTCACTGAAGAGCCTTTTTAAAGTTTTTAAAGTGAAACTGCTTTATAGGTGTTTCTACTGGTTTTAATCCCCTGGTGTGTTTGTTATGGAGAGGAGGACACCTCTGTGGATAATTCTGCCGCTGGTAAAAACCTGCTGAACGTCTGTTTCATAAGTTATCAGAGAAACAATCTAAACAGAGGTTAGCATCAATCTCAGCTCCAGCTCTTCCCTGAGTCTCTGTCCTCCATACAGCGACACTGACACTCTGACTTTAAATGTGAAACTACTTTATTCAGTGTTTTTAATGGTTAGAATCACCGGGTCTGTTTGATTTCCTGAACCTCTGACACTGAAGGAATCCAAACCTGGAGGAGCTTACGGTAATGGTGGTGAAGACAACAACTCCCATGATCCCACACTATTTCATGACGTCACCCAATGTTGTCTTTTATTATTGTTTTGATTGAGAGACCCCTAGAGGCAGAAGCTACAGACTAGGTAGCAATATTAAACACACTAAGTCTATGGACTCCTGCTGTGTCCTGGTGTTTCTACTATTTCGTCCCATTCATAAAAGGAAGGCTAAATAACAGAAACACCTCTACCACCAATGTTAAAATTGCAGGACTCCTGCATCAGACTGCATCAGTTTCATCTAGGTTTTGCCATCTGAGTGTATTTATCAGTTGTATTGACGAGCTGCAAAGTGATTGGAATTAAAGGTGTTCTTTAATTCAATAGTTTGATTGTTATCAACATGTTTTACCCCTCCACTTCCCCTTTTCAAAAATGTAATGAAGTAAAGTTTACTCAGAGACATTTTATCTGACGTACTTTGTACTTGTATCTCAGAACAAGTCATTTTACTTGTACTTGAGTAACAGTACTTGTACTTGAGTACAGTTTCTCTCTCTCTCTCTTTCTACCTCTACTACTCACCGAGGTCTTTGCCGAAGCCTGACTGCTTGAAGCCTCCGAAAGGTGAAGCCACGTCGGTCTTGTTGTAAGTGTTGACGAATACTGTTCCCGCCTCCAGTCGCTCGCTCACGTACATGGCCTTGTTGATGTCGTGGGTGAACACGCCGGAGGCCAGGCCATACTCGGTGTCGTTGGCTCTCTGCAGCACGCCGTCCACGTCGCTGTGGTTTGGTCGAAGAAGACAAGAGGACACAGTCAGTGACTCAGACTGTAGCACAGCACCGCAGCAAGATGCTCTCTTCGGTGACCTACCCGTTTTTGAATTTGGACACCACCATGACGGGGCCAAAGGACTCCTCTTTGGCGATGAACATGTGGTCCTCCACGTCAGTGAACACAGTGGGCTCCATGAAGTAACCTGAGGGAAAATGACCACAAAGATGTTAGCTGATGATAACAGTGATGCTAAAGCTTTTACGAGGCCTCAGCTGCTCCTCTGTGTCCAATGCTGAAATAAGAAATAGACAAGTCAATCCACAGGAAATGAGTTAGGTACAATCCAGATATAATCTAATGATGTCAGTTAACGTGACTCAATTTAGCGCCACATTGAGACGCATGGATTTATGTGCATAATCCCTGAAACCCCAGATTGGCATTGTTTTTAAATTACAAGAAGTTTAGTTCACGTACATAAAAAACATTACTGATACTAAAATAACATGTATGTATCAACAGACAACAGCTCATCCACTGAATGTTGTTCTTTGACTTCTTGATGAGGTGAATGCCTTCTAGTACATTGGTCATATCATACAGCCGCCTTTTCTTTTACATTTTAACTGTAAACAACAGGTGACTACAGTCTGGTGGTGCACAACTGGCTTCAATTTCTGGTTAGAGAAAACGCAGCGACTATTTCCAAACATGAACATATTTCCACGTGTGAGGGGGTTGTGATATCTGCAACAAGAAATAATAATAATTACTTCACAGTGAGTTTAAATGTGGAGTAAGTGATTCTAATGTCAACAGTTCCAGCTAACGAGCAGCAGGGGCCCTCACACAGGACTAAGGAAAGAAGAAGAGAAGATGGGAGATGGAGGAAAGGGAGCAGTGGGAGTGAGAGATGGTATTTAACAGACAGTACTGTCTACCCTCCTGACACCATCACACTGTGGAGTTCTGAATTAATATTTTGTCCATTTTTAGAAGCTATAAACCAAACACCAAGAAAAAAACCTTCAAATATATGTAAATAATTTATGCATGCTGTAGATTGCAAAGCTAATAGTTACAGTAGCTGCAGCAGCTTCCTAAAAACACACTAAATCGTATTTTGTAGATAAAGCAACAACACACATGACAAACAATGATACAAACACAATCTGTAGAAACTGGTCAAAGAGAGAAGAAACAGGCTTGAAAGTAACACCTGTCTGTAAACTGTGTGATTTAAAAGATCATTGGTGCTGCTCTATAATGTCACTGTACACACTGCTGCTACACACACACACACACACACACAGTCTAACTCCACATGTATGACGTGTGTAAATGGCTCCAGTGGCTCGGCGTGTGCTCTACCTGGCCTGTCCACCTGTCTGCCCCCGTACACCAGCGTGGCCCCCTCCTTCACCCCCACGTCACAGTACTCCAGCAGCTTGTCCAGGTGGGCTTTGTGATTCTGAGGCCCGTGGTCTGTGGAGCGGTCAAGAGGGTCTCCGATCTTCATCTTCTTGATCTCCTCCACCTCAGAGGGAGAGGGTGGAGAAACAGCTCTTTATGTTTGCATTACGGCAGATGTAGGAGTATGTTGTACAGGATGTACTCCACCGTTCCTAGAGGAGGGTGGTGTCTCACTCACCACTCGGCCAATGAACTCATCATGTATGGACTCCTCCACAAACAGACGCCCAGCAGCGATGCAGTTCTCACCTTTGTTGAAATACACAGAGCTCATGCCCTGTGGAGCAGCACACACACAGACACACACACACACACACACACACACAGAATTAACAGTGTGGTATTTCATCCACAGTTTGTGTCTCACTGAAAGACAACTGTACATGTGATCATAGATCTGGATGTTTGTTGTGTACCTATGTTACATAGACCCCTGACACCATAGTCTTCAGTCTCATTACAATCTGATGCTTTACACTGCAAGTCAGTTACTCTGTAGATTAACAGATTCGTTTGTAAAATGTCAGAAAATAGTGAAAATATTCAGTTTACATATACAGTAAAAGAGAGAAACAGCTGTGACAACAAAATGTTTGGTACCTTGGCTTAATAAATAATTCACTGCTGGAGACAAATTTTCTCTAAACTGACTAATTTATGAATGACCCTTTAGTATAAGCCCCCCCTCTCCCAGTCTCTCTGTGAGTGGAGCTCTCACCATGCGAACAGCCTTGTCCATGTCACAGTCGCTGAAAATGATGAGCGGTGACTTCCCTCCCAGCTCCAGAGAAACCTTCTTCAGGTTACTGAGCGCGCAGCTGCAACAGGAAGTCACGGAGAAAGAGCGTGAAATATCATGAGACAGTCGTCTCAGCCAATGAGCAGTGAGTATGTCGGCTCATACCTCTTCATGATCTGTTTGCCAATTGGTGTGGAGCCGGTGAAGCCCAGCTTGCGGATGTCTGGGTGGTCGGACAGACGCTGTCCCACCATACCACCTGGAGGAGATGGAGGGATTGGGAGGGGTTGTTAGGGTCACAAGCTAAACGAGAGCGGCACTCAGAGAGCACAGAGCTCCACAAACTAAACGACATCCACCTGACTTCAAATCTTTAAAAAACGCCTCACAAAGATAGTTTCATTTGTAGTTTTTATCAAACAAACAGGAGGAAACGGTGAATTTGTTGGAGACGACTTTGAGTGGCAGATAAATCCTGATACTCTAGTGAGTATTTGTGGCAGCAGGATGGTGTGTGTGGGACTGAGTCAAAATAAACAGTGTGTTTTCATGGTGATGAAGAAACATGTCAGTGTAACACTGTGTGTGACTTACTAGTGTGTGTAAAATAGTTTCTGGAAACAGTGGAGCTCTGTGGCTCAGAGGAATCATATACATCAGGTTCTGATACACTCACAGAACCTGTTAGTTGGAGACATTCACTGTTGATTTGGTCTTCAAGGGATAAGTTGAGAAAAAAATTGAATATTACCAGACTCGTTCTTTAAAATATGTATTTTATAATCTATAGACCTGTGTCCGCTTCACGTTCATGTTGTAAATACAGACTGTGAGAGTTGGGGGATGATTTGTGTACGCAACATTATGTGTTGCAGAATTTGGACCTTTATCTAATGTGTTTTTCATCTAACACACTGACTCCGTGGGTCTGACTGATGATTCAGATGAAACAGAGTGACGAGGGAAAATCATTTTTTTACTGAATGAACTCATAACTTACAGACTTGCAACCTGTCATGAGGAGCTGTGAGTAGACTGTATTGTTGGGAACCACCGATCAGTCTGAGTTTCTTTGCACTATCATTGCACTTGCGTCTTACGGTTTCTAATGTTTCTCTAACCTTATGACATCTGGGACAAAAAATACATGTACATGCTGCATTTGTGTTCATCACCTGAGCCTGGCAAAATGTTGATGACTCCTTTGGGAATGCCAGCTTTCACTGACAGCTCAGCAAACTTCAGTGCCGTCAGTGGAGTGACCTGTAGATATCGGAAAAGGGACATGAAACACTAAAAGGAGGAGGAGACTGTATGTGACACAAATCCAAATTTATCATTAAACACTCAGAGAAATCAAATCCTGTAAGGTTGGACGGTGGGTCCAGGTGGGCGGCGCTCAGTGACTGCTTTGTTGTGACATCACAAAGTTCCAGAACTGACGGCTGGTTTTAAGGCTCAGTTTCTGAACACAGGCTGTGTGCATTTCTCTGTGGACTGAGCTTTGATACTTTCACAGTATTAATATAGAAGCTAGACCTGATCTATAATCAAACAACACATGGATATCTACCTTCATACTATAGGGAGCTTTTAAAGTGTTGCCACTAAACATCGCTCCGTTTACATCTATATGAACCCAGCGTTGTGCAGTGCATCTATTGTGTGTGTGGTGTGTGTGTGTGTGTACTGTACATGGACTCACCTGCGCAGGTTTAAGCACGAGTGTGTTTCCAGCTGCGAGGCAGGCAGCACTCTTCCATGCCAACATCATGAGAGGGTAGTTCCACGGGATGACAATGGCACACACACTGTCAGAAAAAAAACACACACAGTCACATTCAGTAAAAACCCAGAACCTACTGAATATAAACGTGTGGGAAGAGTAGGAGGGATTACCCCAGAGGTTCTTTCTTAGTGAAGGTCAGGTTGCGGTTGGGCCTGGCCTGGTTGATGGGGATTGTCTTGCCCTGAAACCAACAACAGCATGTGTCTCTAGTATTATAATCACTGATGGTTATAATACAACCCAAAAACAGCATTGTCATTAACCTTTAACATGAACCTACCTGGATCTTGTCACACCAGCCAGCGAAGTAGCGGAAGGTCTGGATGGACATTCCTACATGGGTCTTGAGGGCCAGCGTGTACACAGCCCCTGAGTCGATGGACTCGATGGTGGCCAGCTCTTCCTGGTGTTCCTCCATCAGGTCTGCAAGCCTGGAGGGAGGGAGTCAGTGTGAGGGTGACTTTAAAAAGTAATGTGGCATAAACCCTAAGGAGAGATCAGGAAGAATGATGTTGCCATGGATTCATTTACACAGTTGAGTTGCACTGTGAGCTACAACTTGAGCCTCATTTTATCCTGTTTTTGTTTTTACACTGAATTTAACTTAAAATCAGGAGGATTCTGAATGAAGTTCTGCAGGTATGAGGAGCATGTTCTCTCTATGATTGCTGAGTGGATTTATGGTCATTTATTCACAATCACAAATAATGACACATGATTCAGTGTGAGAGCAAGTCACACTGAATCTAAAAAATGTGTGTTCAGATTTGACTTGGTTATGAGTCAGAGAAGAAGTGTCACAGCTACTGTTGACCATGTGTATATTTTGGCCAAATCAGCTGCCAGACGTCAAAAACTAACTTCCTGTGTTTTCACAACATCACATACCCGTTACTTTGTCCTCACCCAGTATCTCCCTCTGTGTTCTAGTATTGGTGCTCATGTAACCCCGCTCAGTCCTCTAGGTGGAGCTACTCACTTGTAAAGCAGACTTCCTCTGTCTCTTGGGTTCATCCTGCCCCAGGGGCCGTTATCATAAGCTTCTTTGGCAGCTGCCACCGCCCGGTCCACGTCCCCCACTGAGGCATAGGACACCTTACAGATCACCTGGGTGAAGGAGGTGAAGGTCACACACAGTCCACAGGTGCACTGAGCTTTTCCTCAGATTTCTGGACGTGTGTGTACATGCACATGGAGATGACTCACAGATCCGTCAGTAGGATTGATGGTGTCGTAGCTCTTCCCACTTTCTGCGTCCTCAAACTTGCCGTTGATGAAGCACTGGTACGGCATTTTCAACGTCATGTTGTTCACTTCTTTGGTTGCCTGTACATAATATAATACGTGTCATATACAATGTATATGCAGGACACACTGACACAACAACAGCTCGTGCTCAGACTCACATAGTCGATGACCAGCTCCTCCTCCTGGTCCTCTCCTCTCAGCTTTCGGACGAACATCTGGATGAAATCCTGGAAGCTGGCAGACATGTACACATCCTCGTTCTGCAGCTGCACACCAGCACATTTCTGCTTCACCTCCTCCACCAGCCTGGACACAAACACACCAACACTTCAACAATGCTTACAGTGGCACAGCAGCACCTACACAGTAGCTTCTCCAGGATCCAAAGGTTTATCTTTTGTTGTTTCACACAGATTATCCCTGGTTGTCTTTTCTCTAAGCTACTGGCTTCCTTAGTTGTTCCGTAAAAAGTTTTGACCACTCAGTGTCATAAAGCAAAGCAAGGGCAGAGGTAAGAACTGTTACAGGACTTATGTTAAAGTGAACCAGTCTCTGACAGTGTTTAAAGCTCCATATAGTATAAAGGTTGTATAAATGTCCATGTGCTGTTTGATTATAAAGCAGGTCTAGGTTCTGTATTAATACTGTGAAAGTATCAAAGCGCTCAGTCCACAGAGAAATGCACACAGCCTGTATTCAGAAACTGAGCTTCAAAACTAGCTGTCAGGACTTTGTGATGTCACAACAAAGCAGCCACCACTCTCAGCCATGCCCCAAGTCCTGCCCACCTGGACCCACCATCCAACAATTCAAATAAAACACAGAGGAGAGAGGAAAATATGGAGCTTTAAGATTTGATTTGTCTGAATACTTCTGACATTATTCTTGTACCAAAGTCTTGTATTAAAACCAGGTCTCACACTTGGTTACAAATATTTCATTTAAAAATCATCCAATTTGATAAATGCTTTTCAGAATGGGTTCATAAAATAATCAAATTACTGTTTTTATTACAGTTATACTGAGGATATTATGATCTATTTGGGTTCCACCCTAATGTTGTAGCCATTTGGATTCTAAAAAATGAATAGGTGACATACAGACAGTAACGGTTGCCCTCTTGCTATTGTACTAAAGGCAAGGGGAGACAGGGGAGGGATACTGGTCACAAAGTGTCAAAGATGTACAGATGTAACATGTAGATTGCGTATTATTGATGAAAATGAAAATCAGTGTTATTGTCAGAATATAAAGATCATAGATGATTGAAAAGACATGAGGCCTAAAAACTGACTCCAGATCAGTGATTTGGGCTTTACTTCACACTTGCCACATACAAATGAAGACTTGTTGTGGTCTAAAATAAGAAGTGAATCATTTCTGACCAGTCGCTGCACCGTCTACCTCTCTCACCTGACCACGTCCATGGAGGCAGCTCCGGACTTGAAGAAGTCTGTTGTGTCCTCAATGGCTGAGACGTTGCTGAGGATGCCCTTCCAGATGTTCTGTCATAAAAAACAACATAAGACATTTAAACTGGAAGTTCAAAACCAGCTGAAGGAGAACCAGCTAACCCAGAAGTTAACTTGCCCTGATCTCCTCCGCCATCTTCTTCTCATCGTCCGTCAGCTCCACGCTGGCGCTTTCTCCAGAGGAGAAGTATTTGGAAGCAGGGATCATCTTCCCATCTTCAAACTGTAGGTTCTTCACCAGCAGCTGTGGAGCAAACACAGAGTGGATGAAGTGCAGCAACAGGACAAGAGGAGGCAACTGAATTAACCTACAGTCAACCGAAGTATTGACACACTCTGCTTCATTGTTTGCTCTGAATATTTGTTCTGTAGTACAACACTCACAGTTTTCCCATCAGTCCCATGCAGGACAAGCCCATTCTTGGTGACCAGGCCAGGTTGGGACACCCCATCGATCTCCAGGGGCTGACCTGCTGGTACCGCCCCCCCTAACATGGATGAGCCATACAGGGTCACAGACTGAGGAGGAACACACAGAGAAGCATTAAAAATTTCTTCCTCTACTGTCATTCTTATGCACAGTCAAACTTTAGCAAGACAGCAGACTAGCTGTTATCTTAGATATTAGACTTTTAAGAGACTGTTAAGGTGTTTTAAGACCTTCAAATGCCACATCTATGGAAAAAAAAGTGATATATTTTTATAAATGACTATTAAAAGGATTTATTCATAGCACACCAAGAAACAGCAACACAAATTTAAGACTCCAGAAATTCAGATATTTTAAGTCCCAACTGTGAATTTTTAATTTTCAAGACTTTTTCAGGAATGTTCCAGGACCTGCTGATGCCATGTTCAAGGTGCTGAATATCAGCCTCAACCCAAAACTACCACCTTTAAAAACCTCTATCAGTCTGACATGACAGCTGCTGTGTGTATTTTCTCTGCTTGTGAGTTCCAGGAAACGCACCTGACCATCAATGACAGTCCAGGCTCCGGGGACTTTGTCATGGCCGCGGATCCAGTTGTGGATGGCCTCAGCTGGCTGTGCCAGGTTTACCTGGGGGACAGAAAGAAGTTGGACTCAAAATGTTGACAGCTCAGATCCACTTTCTGAGCAGCTCACCTAAACTTCTGAGAATGAGAGGGAAGCCCAACAGCTGGCTGCGACACGTGGAAACATGCTGGTGGAAAATTATCCTCTGCACTAAGAATAGCACATATAGACACACGGCCAGCAACGTGGCTGCAAGTGACAAACCAGAGAGCAGCTACCATCAGCCCCACCTCACTCTTTCTGCTCTAAGATAAACACCAGTCACTCACCCCCTCAATACATATTTGGCTCTGAGCAACATGCTGAGCCAGCAGTAAATTTCCATGCTGTTCATGAATGAAGGTGGAAGTGAACTGAGCGGCTGTCTGACTGCTTAAAGAAGCAGAAAACTTTCTGTGTGTTTCTCTCTGTTTGGAACTCTGTAATACTCAGAAACCTGAAGCCTGTTTTTACTGACCAACAATAAAAAGCCTTGAAGAAGTGGCTGCTCAGAGGACGGATTCTAACCTCTTGTCTTGTAAACACAAGCTGAAGCTCTTATCAGGAGACAATCACCATCACCTGCTCCCGACAAGAAACCACATTCACTGGCAGAGAAAAACTTACAAATAGCCCCTTTAATATACTGCAGTTACGTGTTACTCTTTAAAACAGCAGTTACACCAAATAAAACATCTACAGTAAAACTACATTTTCTATAAGATGGGGCCCAATAATGAAGCTGCCATCCTTCTGTAAACTTCCTGAAAACCCCTTCTTCTCTCTAACAGCACACAAGCATCAAAGCCTCCCTGTCCTCTCTTCTCACTCAGTGCTGGACCATCAGCCATCCTGGGACCTCTCTCCCTGTCCTGGCGGTCGCTGCCTCAGTCCAGATGTTTTGGATCTGGACCTTCATTCTCCAGGAGTCCCAGCTTTTTCCTTGTCTCGCTTTCTGCCTCCCTGTCTTTCTTTCTTTTGCCCAGAATCTGGACTTATTGATCATGCCAGAGTATCATTTAGATTTTCTGGAGGAAAATGAATCATTTAGATTAAACGACTAATCAATAAAGTAGTCGATAGATTAATCGTATCAATCATAAAATTGAAAAATAGTCGTGGCAGCCCTACTAACCAAACAACACTGCAACCAGTCAAACTAGCCATATTCACATCACATGCTACAATATCTGTCGTCTGGAATGACCTTGGCATTGGACTTCTTCTGGATGCCTTCGTAGCTGGCTCCTTCCTCTGTCTGGGGAATTCGAGGAGCTTTTCCGTCAGCGATGAGCTGCACTGACTCCACCTGCACCAGGAGAGGTGAGAGAGGGCGTGTCAGTCAGGTGGTGCAACAGCTGGATATAGAGCAACAACAGCTGGAGTTTCTGAAAGTCTAATATAGACAGTTTTCATAGAGAAGGCAAAGACTGGGGAAGAGCATGAATTACATATAGGTCTTTATTTGAAATACATGAATATATGCTCCTGACCATAATCCTCATGTGATCAAAGCCCCTGTGGTTACCATGGCCTTGATGCCCTCTGGGAAGAGGAACCGGTTGTAGAGTGCGTCCACGGTGTCGTTGGGCTCGACAGCGCACTCCCTCTGCAGCAGAATCGGTCCAGTGTCCAGGCCATCGTCGGCCCAGAACACTGTGAAGCCAGCTTTCTTATCGCCGTGGATCAGGGTCCTGGCGACACACACACACACACACACACACACACACACACACACACACACACACACACACACACACACACACACACACACACACACACACAAAGTAAGAGCTGTGCCATAACACATTTATTTTTAGAACAGATAGAGGATGTGAAGTCGGTCATAAACCCGACCAATCGGAGCAGGATCAGATACAGACGTGACAAGAGCAGAGACTGAGGCAGTCACCCTGCTGATAACACTGAAACAAACAACCTGTCTACTGTGTATATTGTTATGACCGCGGTCATATTGTTGTGGGTGCTCTGTTGTGTATGTGTGTGTGTGCCCTGTGTTCTGTTTTTTTTATTTGTATGCAAATAGGTGTGTGCCGCAGCCGTGCCGTCATTGGTGGGAGGGCTCTGCGTCCTGATTGGTAATTGGTTGCATCCCCGATCCAGTGGTATATAAAGAGCCAAGATGGCCGCCGGCTGAGACCTCATTCTCCTCTTCTCCCAACTGGCCACCTCGTTGCAGAATTCCGTTTTGGTGTAGTTCATTGTTTTACTTGAGTAGTAAGGGTGGGCTGCCAGTTTTGTTTCTCTGGTTTTCTCCTGTTTATTTAGTTAGGGAGGTAAGTTGGTTGTGATTTGTTTTCCTCAGGTTAGGTTAATTGTTTGTTTTCCAGACAGGGAGATTATGTTTATTATGTTGGCCTTAGTCCACCCTGAAGCCTAAACTCAATCTTGATGTTATATATGTTCATAAGAAATTTATGTAAATAAATCATTTTCCTTATATTCCACCTAATCTTTGTTGTGGCTACTTGGGACTTGGGGAAGATGGGGCCGGTTCATGTTGTGTCCTAGGCCCCTAGACTGGGGCATAAATATATTCATGCATTTATTCTAAGGCCCATGGCAAGACATTTTAGCACACAGTATATTAGTCTGATGATTAAATTATAGTTAGCTGCAAATGACACTATCAGTGTGACATAGCTCTATTGTAATTACATTGTGATTAGTAAAGCACCTTTTAAATAGGATAAAAAACAATTTCGCCCCTTTTCCTGCTGTGACGTCTTTCAGAGACAGACACTGTAAACGCTCCTGTCACCTGTCCAGCATGGTGCTATTAAACCACAAACACCGCTGCTTCACTTTCCTCTGAGAGTGAGCTGTAGCAGAACTAAGTTTTAAAAACACACAATCATCGACTGAAGCATCTCACATAGAGGAGCACCAAGCTGTGGATGAGAGGGATCCAGTCTAACAGTCTGCATAATAGCAAAATAAATCTGGCCTATACTTGGGCCACCTGCTGTTTTCACCTGGCCCAGTATACACCTGGTTCCATGGCTTGAATCTGGCACATATACACCATGATCGTCAGATGCTACTTTCACATCTGGACCAATTCTGGCGCACACACAGAAAATCTTTCAGTTGTCAGTAAATACTGGAGGATAACAGCTGGAATCTGCCCAGATGTGGAAGTAAATGGGCCAGACTTGAGCCAAGGACCCAGGCATATATGTTGGCCAGCAGTTTCATTTTGCTGTCTGGATGGTGGCTAGCAGCTCACTCTCTATCTGTGGGGATATTCTCTTCCCTGCATCTGTGTGTTTGAGTGTGTGTCTATAACTGCATGTAATGGCTTTGCTCCCTGTAGGTGTGTGTCTGTGTCCTGTCTGTGTAAACAGGAAGGAAACTTCTCTGGCAGCATGAAAGGAGTCAGGCACGTGGGTTTAAAAAACCCATAGGTGCTAATTTTGGTTATAGTTACAATTATATTAAACTGTATTTTTCATAGTTAACAGAAAGAGAAGAGAGTGCACTCGATCTTCTCATCTGACTCTGGGAAACACAAAAGAAGTGTATATCATACAATGTCCAGCTATTCTCTCTAAAGCTAAAGCTAGCAGCTTTAAAGCATCCACTGACAAACAGCTGGATCTACAGGTGGTGTTAATGGGGGCAAACGCAGCAGGGGTTCAAAACCTCTGAAGAAGAAGCAGGACAAGCTGTTTTTACAGTTGAAAACAAACGGAAGCTTTTGCTTTCAGATAGATAGACAGGGCGGAGAACAGAGACCAGCAACGGGGACTGATAAGAAAACCTGTTTGTAAGACTTGTTTGTAGACTGTAACCGCTGTGAAGCGCACTGAGACTCAGAGAACCAGCAGGTAGAGTTTAGAACACAAAAGGGACTTAAATGAATGATCAGTCCAGCTCAAACGAACAAAACCCGAAAACCAATAAGCAAAGCCAAGTCGATAATGATGTCATCAGAGTTATTTGGACCTGGTCAGACACTGAAAGTATATAACACAAAGCCTGCAGCACAAAATGATGGTGTGAGGTTTGAAAGAAGTGGACATTTAGACGGTAGGCAGGTCTAAGGAAAGATGCTATTGTACTGCATTATGGGGGGTGTCAAGTCAAGTCAATTTTTATTTGTATAGACCCAAATCACAACAGAAGTTGTCAAGGCACTCTTCAAATTGAGACCAGACTCCTTATAGTAATAATGTGGTTGATGTGGTATAACAATAACACAATCTAGTCATGATTCACTGAGTGAAAGACATCCTGTTTTAATAGATGTTGTCCACATTATGTCGTGATACACCCTGTCTCCTGCTCCCATTAGTCTATAAAACCAGACACAAGTGATGTTTCATAAACCACATTCTGAGACTTTTAATAAACCATTTTAAGGTGCTTGAGGTCACATGACCAATAGAGAAATCCAAATCAGATAGAAAGTCATGTCATGTCATGTAGTAAATAGAATTTACTCTGCTGGCTTCTCAGGACCTGCCCAATGTGTGATGTCATAAGATCTGTACTGAAATCACTCTCCCTCCTCACCACCCAAAGCACACAGTTTAAACTGTACTGATATGATATGCTACATGTTAACAGTATATATTAGAATGGTATGACCATGTGTTGTCAGATCCGTAGCTACCATTCAAACTTGTTTTTCACCCCTCATCATGCGAACCCTCCTCCACTAAGCACCTCCCTCCCCCCTCCCCCCTCCCCTCTCTCACCAGTTGATGGCCGAGGCTCCTCTGTGCAGGGGCAGGATAGATGGGTGGTAGATAATGGAGCCGTGCTTGGGGTTGTCGATGATGTTCATGGGGATAAACTGGGAGCAAAAGGGCATGACATTGAGCTCAGCGCCCACTGCCTTGTAGGCCTCCACCACCTCTGGGATCGGTTTCCCCTTGACCCGCCACCGTGGAAACTTAAACACTGGTGTCCCGTCTTTCTCCGCTGCCACCGCTGACAAAGAAGAGGAAGAAGAGGAGAGGTTATCAGTACAGGTTCATCATTTCATCAGTTACCTGCAACCTACAAATCATCTTCCATATTTGACTTTTTTTTTTAACAAGACCTTGTATTTATATCATGTTTTGTTTGATAGGGACAGTAAAGACTTGATAGAAAACGAGGGAGGAGAGATAGATGGGAATGGAATTTTACAAATTTCACTAGTCAGTTGCGGACCACAGAATTTTCAGGTCTTGGTTAGTACCTTAACCCCAACTGCACCAGTTTGTAATTTGATTTTGTATCTTAGAAGAGATAACTGGATTTTTGAGGTCGACTCTGATAATAATGAGCCTTGTACTACTTGGAAAACACTCAACATCCACTAACATGTTTTCATTTTAAAACACTGTTTTAAAACAATCTATGTCCTGAAAACGCATATATACATGACCACTGATGTACACTGAGCATGTAAGAGCCAGTGTAAACAGGAAGTAGATTGTTTACTCTGCAGTTGATTAGTTGCACAAAATACTACAAACGAGGAACAGTAAAAACAACAAGGTCAGTAACACTGTAATTCATTATCATGTTGTATTCACCACTAGTACTCAAATCTGCTTAGAGCCAATCAGAGGAGGCCGTGGGTATCTACATCATAGTTTCCAAAGGTCTCAGTTTCTGTCTGTCCAGACTACAACACAACCCCAGAGTTTTTAAAATAAAACACAACCCCAGAGTTTACAAAATAAAACACAACCCCAGAGTTTTCAAAATAAAATAAAACCCCCATTTTTTTCAAAATAAAATGGGTCCAGCAGAGATTCTGAAAGTCTCAGTTTTAGGGGCTGAAAGCTCTGGAGTTATGTGGACATCAGGAGTAAGCAGAAGAGATGAGTTTTAAAACTAAAACGTAGCATTCTGGATGTAGCCTGAGACCTTCATGAACTCAGGCCTTAACTGTCATGTTGGGATTTTGTAAGGCAGGTCAAGAATTGTCATTGTCGAGTGCAAATTTTTGTAATGTCTGTTTGCTGCATGGGTTGGAATTACTTCTGTTCACTTTTCACTTTTGTCCAATCAGAACAGAGGCTGTCTTCACAAACACAGCACCATGGCTGGAAATGTTCCTGGTCGGAACCCACGACGTACCCCGGGATGGATTCCCTGGAGACAACATGTAGGTATATTTTGTTACTGGCTCCTCCAGTTCTCTCAGCAGCTCAGAGCTTGGCAGTCTGCCAGTAGGCTTTCTCCTCTGTTGATTTCTCTGTAGGTCTGTGGCAGATTGTGTTGTCTACCTGTTCTCTTGAGGGTTGATGCCTAATTAAGTTTTAATAACAGTATTTAACTTTTGCTAGATAACTGATTGACTAAAAAAATATTCTGAGGCATGTCTGCTCCTCTGCCCGTATCATTACTCGTACCCCCTCCATCCACCACATCACTCCTGTCCTCCAACAGCTCCACTGGCTACCGCTTCAGTTCCGTATTCATTTCAAAGTCCTTCTATTAACATTTAAGGCCATCCACAACCTCGCCCCCCCCATATCTGTCCGACCTCCTCCATGTTCCCACTCCCTCCCGCTCCCTCAGATCCTCTTCCTCCACACACCTGTCTGTCCCCTCCGCCCGTCTCACCACCATGGGGAGTAGAGCATTCAGCCGCTCTGCTCCCCGTCTCTGGAACCTACTACCACCCCAACTCAGAAATATCGATTCATTCCCCCATTTCAAATCACAACTCAAAACACATCTGTTTAAAACTGCCTTTTCCATCTGATGCCAATTGCTCTGTCACTTTTGTATTGTTTTTATTTTCATATTTCATTTTTATTGTTGCTTCTTCTTAATGTTTTTAATCTCAGTTTGTGTAACTCTGTACGGTGTCCTTGAGTGCCAAGAAAGGCGCCTTTAAATAAAATGTATTATTATTATTATCATTATGTCTGCTCCTCTGATTCAGTTGGTATTGGCATGGCTTTTAAAATAAAAGATTATACTTGTAGACGAAGGAAAATGCACAAGAAAGAACAAGAGATGTGGACAAAAACAACTGAAGGGAAAATAAGTGCAAAACTTCAAAAAGCCAAAAAAGCAATGTGCAGAGCGATCCCAGTGGTTTTATTTCCCTGTGGGCTGGTGCACATCTCAGGGGCTGTACCTGTGGCCTCCCTTTGTTTCAACTGGAGAAACGAGTCATTTTCTATAGGAGTTTTGAATTGTTTACTCAAAAATCACACATCCACCTTTGAGCATGACCCATAAACCGACATAGAATGATTTCTAAACCTGATGGTGCTGTCAATGACAGAGGATTAATACAACATGATTTTATATTAGTATCATTCAAAACCTTCAACATAATACAATACTAACTAATAATAAATAAATGTGGATTATACAGCAGTCCTTTGATAATAGTAATAACCACTGTGGATGTTTAATGCCTGTTACCTTGTGTGTAGGATGCTGACAGTCTGGTCACATGGTAGATACAGCCTTAAACTTTATATTTTGGCCATTCTACAGGACAGAAATTTTGGGACTGATCTAAATTAGATCAAACCATTAGACAGGTTACATACAAGTTAATTTTTATATGATTCCAGATGTATATTTGAAAAGAGGAAAATCCTGGTTTCTAGTCCACACTGGAATGTAGCTTGTGATCTATGATTCTGTATCTAAAGAGGAACAGAGAATGAATGGGAAACATCTTGTGAGACAGTCCAGGGTTCACACCTTAATCACAGTCTTTTTGGTGTCACTTTTTCTATATAAGTAACAAATACTAATGCAGAGATAAAGTCTTAATGTTATAAAATGGAGATTCTGGTTGTGTATTCCCATTTTGCCTTGTGTTCATTTAGTTGATCCTGTGGAGATGACCATCAGGTAAGCAGGTAAATCTTGCAAGATTGGATGGTCGGTCTGAGTGGCCGACTGCTTTGTTGTGACATCACAAAGTTCCAGAAGTCCTGACGGCTGGTTTTAATGCTCAGTGTCTGAATACAGGCTGTGTGCATTTCTCTGTGGACTGAGGCTTTGATACTTTCACAGTATTAATATAGAACCTAGACCTGCTTTATAATCAATCACCTTTATACTATATGGACCTTAAAACTTAATTTCTGCTTGTTTGTTTTGAAACTTGTGTAGCTGTGTTTGACATTTGACAGTCAGTCCTGAATTACCAAATGCATGTTACAGGTTACACAAAGTCCATCCATAAATACTGACTGTCCTTTCTTTAATTTCTCTGTATTGTAGCTTGTGAAGTGTGTCTTGGTCACTTTTGTCCTTTAAATGCAACCAACATGGAAAGTTTTAAAAATGACCATGTGGACAAACACACGGGTAATAAAATGTTATCTCTGCAGGGCCATTTAGACCAGGAGTTGCATGTTGCCGTCTCAGCCGCTTCAACATGAGTCAGATAAGCGGTAACTCCAGTTAGAACTAGGCTGAACAGCTCTACCTGCACACACAGCTGTAGCTGTAACAAACATGAACCAGCTGTCTCCAGATCAGTCCTACAGCTAGCCTGCTATACTAGAGTATGTCACTGAGGTCACAGGGCACCAGCAGTGGCAGTGCTAACTCATAGGTACATTTAAACACAGGAACTTCATTCATATTTTATAAATATTGGTTTTATATCAAAACGGTTTTATTCTGATCAGTTTTAAACAGTTTAAGTACAAAGTAATTCATTTTGGTGGAACCTAAAAACAAACTTTAATGTTTTTATTAAAGTCTATAGTCCATCTTCACTGAGTGCAAACATACTGCAACAGTCAATGTGCCCTTTGAATATTTAAGAATTTTAACTCAAATGGACTCAGGCACAGCGGGAAAATATTGATGACAAAATAGTACCAGAAGAAACAGTTGAACGGTGGCTGGAGAGGAGGATGGCATGCACAGGTCAGGAGGCTGATCGCTAAAGATGATTCCTGGAAAGATTGCATCATACCAAAGAGTGCAGTCTGATTGCAGACTTTTCACCTCAGAGCTGCATCTCCAGGCCACACAGGGCCTCTCCCTGCTCACACAATGGAGCCACTATCCCGCAGCTAACACGGAATAAAGGCCGGCCTTTGTCCAGGAGCACTGTCCAGTCAACACACATCTACCTCAGCCACAGCACAGGCTCCGATGACCCAGAGTGAGGACACAGGATCATCAGAGGCCGGCACAGCTGACATTTTCTGTCTCAATATTTTAATATAAAATATTTGATCTTCTGCATTTTTATGTTGTTTCACAAAGTCCAATGATAAGCAAAGCAGGTAAAAAACCTTTCAGGGTTTTTCATGTTCAAAATTAAGCACAGGTGGTTTCATCCTGATCAACTGGCTCAAGCAAACAAGACAATTATAAACTGTAACAAACTAGGAGATGTCACTTTGTGGATTTTTCACAAATGAAATTGAAAAAAAAAATCAACATAAATCAGGAATGAAAACACAAAGAGGTGAAGCGACAGACAGGGACGGTAAAACCTTTATGGATTTCTCCTGGTGGTCCCGATGTCCAACTATGGATGACATCTGTGCTACTAGTCAGCTGATTATAAATCAAAAGGAAGCGCTCAATATAAAAAGAAAGTGCTCAATATGGTGCAAAATGTGGACAGAAGACAGTAAGAATAAAACTCCCAGCTTTCAATATATTCGCTCAGTATATTTAATGTCTGTGTCTACTATCTGTTTAATTAGTGTGACTCAGGGTTTCAGTGATAAAATCTGAATAATGTTAGTTGGGAATTGTAACAGTAGCAAGTCTTCAACCAGCTAAACTAGCTTAGCACTACTCCTACTCCCCATGAGCTGGGGCTATATTTAAGCCATCAGCCTCTCTAAGTATCAGTATCAGCCATTGAAAATCTCGTATCAGTCAGTCATTGTCTGCACTGTTTCACCGTCCCTCATGAGTCTCCTCCCCACAAACTCCAGAGCCACATGTGCTGCTGAAAACACTACACTGATATAACATTAATTTAACTTTAAGAAACTGGATGTGCTTGAAGGCAAAACAAATGTTCACTTTGAACAGCCATGAAAAATCTGCTGTAGGGACAAAACAGACGCTGATATCCTTGAGTTAAACTGCAGGTGTTTTCTCTTCTTCTGCAGTTTTGGCAGCAACTTTCTGAACAGTGCTGATTATAATACATCATCACCACATCATCGCAATGCTGCAACTGCAGTTATTAATGACAGGAAACCAACTGAGAGCAGTGCTTAGTGTTTTCCATGAAGACACTGTCACAGGAGGCCAATGATATGAAAGGAGAAATACAGTGAATGCTGTTTCTTTCACTCACAGTTGTCATGTTAATGTTAATACACTGAGCCACCTGAGGAAGAACAGCACACATGTTGGGTAGTGGAGACACCGGTCTGTCTGCATTCAGTAACATCTTCCTTTATCTTGTTAATTTCATCACTGTCTTAAATACCCCTACCTTGCTGACTGATTTAGTCTGGGGGCCCTCCCTGCCCCCTGGTAAAGATGACCCTTGGTGTCACACTGTGAGGTCTGTAATTGCAAATACCTTTTGTTCCTACTTTCTTTTGATCCCAACTGTAACTGCATCCTGCCCAATCACCATGCCTGTACCAACTGATCACAGTTGTATTTACATACAGTTGACCACCGCCCCTTCAAACAACTACAGCAAACTTTGGACTAAGGACTGGAGTGAACTTTCTTCCTCACACCTCAACACCAAATATGAGGGCTGGGTATCTCTTTATTAGCTGGACGCCAACAGCAGGTCTAGTCCTGACTGACTGACTGACTGACTGACTGATTGATCATATTTCCACCATTTGTCAGCCAAGCGCCATGTGATGGACTGTGTGTGGATGCCGACAGGGGGCTTAGGGGCTACACCTCTTGTTACGGGCAGTCTACTAAGCCGCTCTGGCTTCCCGGCTGCTTGGGAACTGCAGGGAAGAAGAGGAGCACTTCCAATACACTGAGCCTCGCCTTTATTACAGCAAATAAACTACTTCCATCACATGTATCATTATTACTAAAGGAAGCAGGGGAATAACTACACAAGACACACCAAGTAGAGAGAGCAGGAGAGAGAGGGAGAAACAGAAGTCATAGCTAATTGCTAAAGAAGCTAGCAGATCTGAATAGCATGTAAACAACAGAAACACCAGCAACTAGGAATGAGACAATACATTTACTACAGCGCAGTAATAAAAGCCCTGTTAAGACATAAATGGTTCCTGCCCACTGAAACACTAGAGGGCTCTTAATTTGAAATGGTTATAGGAAGTGTTGAGTTTTTATTAACACGTACTGCAGTAACTTTAACATAACAAACAGGAGTGACTTAAAACGAGGCTTCATACTAAAATACCACTCTGACCAATTCTACATATCAAACAGAGGCAGTTAGAAATAAAGACCTGCTACCTTCTGCAGGTGAGGGAAATAAAGGCCCCACCCACTTTTAATGAAGCACAGTAGCTGAAAACTTTTCTAAAATAGGAAAGACATTCTGTTTCTCTCTCTGATCATGTTACAGTAAATCCAGCTCAAATCACAGCTCAGTCTTTGTCTTTAACTGATGTGTTTGGTGATGTTGTCAAACGATGTCATGGTTATAAAATCAGGATTTTAGCAGAAGCTTGGAAGTGACCGTTGGTTTACATGTAGTCTTAAAGGGCGACGTTTCAGTCACTGTTTTAAACATGTTCTGTTGTCGTGACAACAGAAAAACGTGTCAATGAGAACTGCTTTACTGTGAATTCTGCTATATCAAAATACTGTATATGTGAGTACAGATAGTTGAGAATACGATGTGATGATGTTTACAGCGGTTCAACCAGTGATCCATCAGTGATAAGAGCTACCTGAAGGACCAGACAGTGATGGTGCACAGTCTCACTCTCAAACCAGGCAGAAAACCAAGGGACCAAAAGGTAAACACAGAGGGAAGAAGAGTTAACTCACCTAGGGGGTCAGCCTTGCCGTCCTTGTCAGGGACAGTGAACACACCCACCACTTTGTGACCCTGTTTCCTCAGGTTGCTGTACACCTCCTGTCCAAACAGGCTCTGGCCAATTATAGCTAGTTTCAGCTTATTCTGGTAGTAATGCTGTAACAAGAGTAAACCACACATTAGTTTCAGTGTAAATACTGTAAACACTCATCTACACTCAGACTATTCACATGTTGTCATAATGTACACAGTACACTGTTGAGCAGGAGGTGGTTTGCAGCACGGTCTGTAGATGTTATGCAACTGGCCCAGAGGAGGCGGTCTTACCAGCAAACAATCAAAGGCTGCTGGGGCTAAATGTCTTTAGCCCCAGCAGCCAGAGGGGCCCTCAAAACACTACTCTTAAAGGGCTACTCCAGGAGTTTTAGATTGCACTAACATAGAACTGGGGGGAAAACAACAGTGAAAATTAAAGGAGCTATTTGTAAGTTTTGCTATTGCTACATTGCTAATGTTAGCATTAGTAGCTGTTTACTTACCAGTCCAGGCAAGAGCTTCAGCCATTGTTGGATTTACAAGACAAAGGGTTATAATATGTCCTCTGAGCAGCTATGTCTTCAGGGCAGCCTGGAGGCTATACAGTGCCTCGGTATCAAAAAGTGACAAGACGGGCTGATATGGCCCCTGGCTAGCTGGTAAGCATGGTCACTTCAGTTAAAGAAAAGAACTGATAGTTGTCTACCTCTGGAGACAGCTTTAGTAAAGGAATGAAGTTTGATGCTTAACTTCTAGATTGGTAAATAAACAGCTGCTAATGCTAAAGTTAGCTATGTAGCAAAAGCAAAACTTACAAATAGCTCCTTTAAAGCAGCAGAAGTTGAGATATCCTGACTCCAAAAACACTGGATCCTACATTTCCCACAATGTAACTCAGTAGCACTGCCACTGGTAAACAGCCAAGGGTGTCGTTCCTTACCACTGCATATGGACAAAACTGGGCCTGAAAGAGGCAAACGCTATCAAAAGTTGGGATCCATGAAAACCCGTACAGAAACTGTGACTCGGGCTTCATATCACATATTACTTATAGAGCCACTTTAACATAAACATTCAAACCAGCATTTCATTTTTGTTATTTGTCTTGCCAATACAAACTGCCATAATTACTGAAAATGTATTTATTCAAAACTTAAAGTGACACCGGAGCTACTCTCATTACTGATTCAGACTTGGACGTTTGGTCTAAAAAATATTCCTCACACTTCCACAAAGCTGAATGTGTCATCTTCAGATTCAATCTTTTTTTTCGTTTTCATCTTCTTTGAATTCCTGTAGTTTTCTTGGAATGTTTACACCCATACACATGGCTGACTGTAACAGGATAAACTCAGTCAATAAATCAAGCCAGCCCTCACCCACAGAGTGACAAGCTCAAGTGCATCCGACTGCAGTAGCACACGTGTGAGAGAAGGAGGTTTCAGCTTTCCCCTGCACAGAGGAGAACATGAGTGCTCCTGTCAAACACATGAGGCACCCTCTGTCGCTCACACTGCAGTTTGCAACGTGCTTCATGATGCATTCAAAGACATTCATCCAAAGCAGCTACCTACTGTAAGACAGCTCTTACAACATCAATGACCCATGCATCTGGTTGCAAAGCAGAGAATGAAGAGTGAGTGAATGAGTGAGTGAGTGAGCAGATTGCTCCTGCAGGATCCGCACTAAGCTGCTGGCGGTCCACAGTGCGGGGCTCCTGTGCTGATGCAACTCTTGCAGAGCTTGTACAGTAAAGGCCAGTCCAGTCCGAGCATAGGGAGGGGGTAACGTGGCACTGGCTCTGATACTGTACTACATCACGTACTGGGTTGGTTAGCAGTAACTTATGAAGACCTGGACGTGAACTGAGTCAGTGATCCGCAGGCGGGGCCGACCGGCTCCGTCCTCTGTGTTTACCAGTGCGACTTTTATCAATGCAATTGAAGTGTCAGAGTCTCTGTTCATTCTCTGCTGCAGCAAAGCAAGAAACGCAACGTTACTCACGGAGGAGGTGGAGAGTCTCCGTAAGGCTTGACACGCCGTCCACATCATGATGGCGATGTTTGAGTATAAAAACCGAGTCAGAATAAAAACAGATCCAGACGCTGCGGGATCTGTCGGCGCTGCTGGTCACACTCACCTGCCCTCGCGTGTGTGTGTATGTGTGTATGAGTGGGTAAGTGTGTGTGTGACCGGGAGTCAGAGGCAGAGCTGTGGTCTGGACTCGCCACAGCCAGCTTATACCCGACAGTAGCAGGCACGTCGAGCCGCTCCGGCACTGTACGTGCGCGTCCACGCGGCTCCATATCATCCCCACTACGACTGCGCGGTCACGCGTGGGAATTCATTCAAGTCTCAAGGCCATGTTGACAGCTCTTTACAGCATTTATTAAATTGAATCACAATATTAATTGACATAAAAAAGTCAGTTAAAATATATATCCAGATTAATCTGATGATCGTTATAACTGAATGTTTTTCTTTTTCTTTATCTCCCATGCAGATTTCCTTCTAAATAACATTTGTATATGTAGCCTATTACATGAATACTAAGTAATGGAATGGACGATTCTTTATTTACTTTATAATGTCACAGGTTTTAGTCTCACACTATAAGATTCAGTAAAGGCTGGGAATCTGACAAGGTCACTGTTTGCAAGACTACGACTAGATTCCTTTGAGATTATTTTCCATCATGCTCCTGGTGGAAATTTACAGATAGAAAAACCCTTTTCCAACCTTTTTGCTCTTTGAAATTCTATTATTATTTATTTATTTATATTTTGTTAGTAACTCGACACTATAATTTTCATGGTCTGCCCCTGAAATGACTGTTTGGATGTGTTTTATTTTAATATGGTTTTCCTTGTGTTCAACTACCTTTCCCTCCCTTATGATTAGATCATTAGATTATATAATTAGAAAAGTCTGAGCATATAATTCCCTGCAGTTTAAATGTTTTTTCTCATGTTGTGTATGAAAATGAACATTGTAAAGTGACGACTTGATTACTGTAATTACTGTATTTAAACAGCATTTGTAAAGAAATGATTCTGTCTCAAGGCTCTTTGATCCACTGTAATTCAGTTCTGCTGATGTGCATTGTCTTTACTTTTTAATTATGCCTTGATTCATAAATGAACACAGGTGTTATATGAGTTCTGTGCCAATAACCAGAGGCTCTGTGGGCAGCAGGGTTGTCATTTGATTGAAGTTCTGGTGCATACATCAACCAGTATCATACAAACTGCACAACATCTAACCACAGAGTACCTAGCACGCTGGCAGTGTTGTGTATCACTCTTTGTTTTGCAGTGATACAGAGGTTGACCTGGGTTTAGGTCAAGTGAGGACAGTGTCCTGCCCGATTTAAAGACTGAAGTCTGAGTCATTTTCCTCCAGTTTCAGTGAACCCCCAAAGATATGTCCCCTGCAGTACACCTGCCTGGACTCCCACACACAGCACGCTCTGATCAAACACACATCTGGCACCATCCACTCTCAACTGCCTCACACAGGCTCCTGTGGAGCAAAGGTTCAAACTGTGGGGAGGCAGGGCATATATGCAGGTGTGTCATAAACAGAATTACATTCCTGGCAAGTAATTATCTTTTTTCCCCACAGTTTAATTAGACTAAAACAGATTACAATGCTCCTGTGCTGTTGCAACACTGATTTGCTGATGTCACTGCTTCAAATGACTTGTTAACTTTTATAACAGATGCAAGGGATGTGATCCAAAATGTAATACAGCTAATAAAGGTCCTGACAAAGGAGCAAAATCTGCCCTCACTAATTTTCCCTCCACAGCTCAGGGTCATAGCTGTGAAAGAAAATAGACATGAAGCACTAACATCAAATGAATGACAGGAAACAAGATCCAGATCTGATACGTGTTTGGTCATTGTTGTCATGTGACTGTTGACTGTGTTGAGAAACCAGAAGAGGAACCAGGGGAGCAGCTGTGATTTATTTGTGAAGAGCTTCAACAACATCAAAAAGATGGGGGTGGGGTGTCTGAGAGATGACCATCAACCCGCCGTTCTTCACATCAGACAACAACATTTCAACAATCCACTTTGGCACGAGGGTTGGTTCCTTTCCCTCACCTCTGTTTGGATCATAAAGGTTCTGGTTACTCGCTGCTGCTCCGATCATCCATTCACACACAGAGCACAGACTCATCAGGTCACGACAGTGTGTGGCGCACATTAATCTCTCAAACACAATCATGAACAGAAGCAGTCCAGGAAGTCGAGCAGAGAACCTGCCTGACACATTTTAACATTCAGGTGAATAAGTGACTTTGTGTCACTAAAGAAACACAGTGGGTGAGATCACTGGTACATGACTTTTCCACAGACAATGTGCCAATGCTGGAGATTTCAAAACCAAGGACAGAGGAACAGAAGCCATAATTCAAAAGTCTACTGAGGAGACAAAGTGCTAACATCTGTTAGAATTGGAACCATGATTGTGGGTGCTGCTAAAGAAAGGTTTTATCGGTTACTTTCAACCCCCACAGAGTGAAAACTGTTTGTAAAAAGGTTCACTAGTCGTGTGGCCCAGCACTGGCAATTTGTCCTTCAAAGGAAGGCAGATCAGAGGAGGGGTGGGGGGGTCAGGCACATTTCCCATGCTAGTGTTACATATTCTACAACAAGTTACAGGTGTCAAACAACACAACGTTCTCCCTGCCCACAGCAGAGTCTCTGCTCAGAGGCATGATGAAGCTACAGGAAGCGGATCCCTGCTCCAAACTGGACACCGTCACATATCCTGTGAGAGAGAAAAACAGAGGTCAGGACTCATCATCAGGAGAACCTTCACTCAAAGTCAATCATCTGCTGCACTGACTGTTTTCTAATGCAGGTAGGTGTGGACAGGTGGTCTGTGTTATGATTGCTTATGTGTGATTAACGATTGTGATTAGCACCATTAGCCTGGGTGGAGTTACTTTTTAAAAACCCTGTTGATTCCTACAGTGAAGAGGATGTTGTTACTTTTTTTTCATGCAGCCAGGTGCAGTCGTTCCTGCTCATCTTCCTATTTTTTAATCTTTTTTTTTTCTTCTTCCTTTGTCATATTTGTTTAAATGTTCATTGTCTGAGCTGTGTTCTCTCTGGAGATGCTAGTGGAGAGAGGGCTGGGTTCTCATTTATAAACGATTATAAAAGATGGGATCTATAAATACAAACTTGACGGGAGAACACGCAGAAACTGTGACCCATGTGTACATTTTGGAGACGGGGGAACTGGTGACACAGATGGTGAGGTGGTGAATTGAAGCTGGATGGTTGAAATCAAATGTGACATATATACAGTATATACATATAATGAAATAGACTGAGGGGGGGTTCTAGAGGTTTAACATCTAGAATCCCCCTTCAGTCTACATGGAACATACAGGAGACAGGAAACAGTCCCATATGACTGTTCGATCCACATTATCAAGTCAGTCAGGACAGTGAAGCTCCCCTTCCTTCTGATCCCCCCTCCTCACCTCTTAAACAAGAGAACCTGTGTAATTTTAAGTGTTGTAATGCCCTGATCATTTCAATGTGTATATTTATGTTCTTTCTGTTCTAGAGATTTGTTACAATTCATAGTTGAATTCTCCAAGGTGTGCATCTGTTAAACTTGTTGATTTTTGAACTCATTGTAATCACCTGAGCATTGGGAAAACAGATCTTCATACATTTTGATTTTTTAATAAGAAAATTTGGGAACTTGTAAAAAAGTTATAATCTGAAACTTTTCCTCATTAAATGTCTAAAAACAACTAGACCTATGTTCTATATGTTGTTGAGTTGTGTTCTTACATTATCCCAAATGTTTCCATCAATTGTCAAACCACAGAAATCTGTGATTTTAATCATGTTAACATTTCATTGGTCGCCTGTCAGTGACATCACATCCTCTATGATTATGTGTCAGTGTTGTGTTTTTCTGACAGAAGCTCAACATTTGCTTTTATTTAGTTTCAAGCAACATACACTTTTGACACCTTGGTGGTTTTCAACTTTCTCCTCTTCAGACACCACCATGTTACGTAGCTGTTCCACAGAGCTTCTTCTCTGCTAACTGGGTGAATTCAGAAATCACACTTGGCTTCTCTCATAACATAAATCTTCTAAACTCACCACTGCTTTTACCAACTGCTTTTCAGTAAAGGTCATATCATTTAGGTTTATTTCATTTGTTGTGTTGTTGTTGTGTCAGTGTCTGTTAGTTAGTAGTGTGTACTAACAGATGTTTAAGTATCAAGTCTTTACATATCTGATCCTTTGTTGTTCCCTATGTCTGAACCAGCTGATGACATACTTCAGTGGTGGACCAGCTGACAGACACACATCACCCACAGAACCATGCTGCTGACGGTGTTGGTGTGAAGTAGTCTTGCTCCTACCTGTCTCCACTCTGGACTCCCATGGGAACGCAGTAGTTGAGCTCCAGTCTGGCGATGTTTCCGAGCCGGAGCACGATGCCTGCTCCGTACGACCAGCGGATACACTCAGCTAGCTTCTGAAGGTGTGCCCGGGGACCCTCACCTGCATTTGCCCATCATTACTATTTCAGTCTTATAATACAGCAGGCATGGTACAGTAATATCTTAAGTGCACCCACCATAGTTGAGGTTGCAGAGGTTCCCAGCATTGAGAAAGAAATGTGTCCTGAACAGGTCTCCGAAACCGCCCTTGCCTGGTCTGAAGGGCAGAGGGGTGTAGAGGTGCAGGCCACCCGCCCAGTATGCCTCTCCACCCAGGTAATCACCTGGAACATACAGAGGAGCAGGACATATCTCTAACGACACTCTAATGATCATCCTGATCATTCAAATAAACACTGTGATCCAGATTATTAATCAAGAAAAACACACAAAGCTCCCTGCTGTTATCCCTCATACAAAACACAGTAAATTATATGTATACACATTACATTAGTTTTGCTGGGCGTGCATTTGTTCATGGCCTCTCTATGGCCATATAGTGGTTGTGTTAATGTTTGTGTATTTATTGTCTTAACAGTTGTGTGTTTGTTGAATTGTTGATTATTGTTTTGTTTTGTTTTGATGTTTATTTGAATTGTATGTTAGGACCCCCTTGAAAACAAGATGATTTTTCTAAAGGAATTTATCCTAAAGAACAAACTTGTATATAAATGGTTCATTAATCGCACATTAGATTTAAATGTGTGGGTGCAGATCTCTGTTACCAGTTCAGTA